AATCTTCAATTAAGGCGAGCAAGTCATCATCGACCACTTCTGGAGGATGTCCTTGGTGTGGCTCGTCTACGAGGCTTTCATCGCCGCCTTGGAATCTTTGAAACCATCGTTGACATTGCCCAATGTTTATACTTTTCTCTCCAAAAACAGTGATGATCGTGCGATGAGATCCAGCTGGTGATTTTCCTTGTTAAAAATCGTAGAACAATACAGCTCGAATACGGAATTTTTTGTCCTCCATTTTTTGCCAAAAAGCGAATGATGAAATACGGAGCACTAAATGTTATTTATGCAGACATCTTTTACTTTGTATATATGCAAAAAAGAGGGAAGAAACGGTGCTTGAAATTACAAAAAACATGTTAAGTAGTGACGCGTCATTATTAAGTTGCCAACCTAATACAAGAATATAAGACAAAAATCTCCGCTGAAATCCCAATCAGTCCCGTCAGACCGTTGGAGTTGACAGTTGACCTGAAAACGTTAGGACACTACTGTCCGGTGAAGACACTTCACCCACTCGGCCATTGTCCACCGGTCAAATAGGCTGAATCCGCTTGATAATCGTGGTGATCTCTGTGCAGCAAGGTGCTGAGGCTTCGAGATTTTCTTCATTTAGTCTGGGCGCCCCATTCTATCTTCCATGGCTACAGGCATAAAGAGGTACAGGCAAGGAGATCCAATAAAAATGTTATAATTTTGAAGCTAGCTCGAAGTTCTCGAAGTTCCAGGTTTTTCTGCCTTTTGACTGGGAAAAAGGAAAGGCATCTGTTCCTGTTTTAAGGTGAGTGTAAAAACCTGGAGTTTCTAGTGCTGGAATTTTCAACAAATGAACATGATCCTTTGACTCGAATATTGTTTTAGGGGAGAGAGAATCGTTTAGAAGAACTTTGAAAGTTCGCTGAGTAAGGAAACTTTCAATAACTGAAATCATGGAGGGGGAGATTTTATATGCATGTAGTTTGTGAATTAAGAATTTAATAGGGACAGAGTTGAAAGCTTTAGCAAAATCTAAAAACACAGCTTTGGTATGAAGAGAGCGAATGAATGTGTAAAGTGGATCCACTTTAAAGTGTACAGTTGAAAACTTTTAATGTTTTACACATTTCGTATAGCATCTGTAGCATTTCGTTTCCGTTCGATTTTTAATTTATAGATGAAGTATTATTATTGTATGTAAAAGGGGAAGTTGTCCCATATAAAAGCCCTCTGCAATGACTGGCAAATCAACGGATCCCCGGATTCATTCATTTCATCGTTCGACAATGAAATTCACTCTTCTGTGCGCTCTTTTTGGAGGCCAGTAGTTATCTTTTGTATTGAGATATTGACTATTGAGATAAAACGAGATTAAAACGAGTCTGGCACTCTTGACTGCAAGCATATGAAAGCTAAACTAACAGCAACTAGTCAATGCTTTCCATTTTCAGGTATTTCGGCGGTTTTCCTGCCGGCTGCTGAGATCACTGGACTTGTTAATGTAAGAAGTCCTTTCAATCTAATTCCTTTTTAAATCCCTCCCTTTAGGCCCACAATTCATTCCGTTCTCAGTTGGCCTTAGGAACGTATAAAGCAAAAGATGGGACACCATTTGCTTCAGCCACCAATATGCTGTTGATTGTGAGTGAATACGGAATAGAGAGATACAGGGAGAATACTCAGCTGCAATGTATTGTATTCAGCAATGGAACTCGACTTTGGCGACAAGTGCCTCGAACTATGCGGCCACTTGTTCATTTCTGACTCATTCGGGCACAAGTGGAGTCGGCGAGAATCTCTACATCACGACGAGCAGTGTTATCACGGGAATAGGTAGACACGAATGCTCACTGAATTTCCTTCATAAGCAAGTCCTTTCAGGGGCTGCTTCCAGCAATTCGTGGGCTAATGAGTTCTACAATTTTGGACCGAAAGGCTATGTCTACTGGTCTTCGGGCAATAACTCGACTGGACATGCTACACAGGTGAGAAGATATTCATTGTATTTCAAAGATGACTCGTTCAGATGGCCTGGGCAACCACAGGGACCGTTGGTTGTGGATATGCGACTTGCTCGAATGGTCCGACTGGATGGACATCATACACAATTGTCGTCTGTCAATACTATCAACAGTGAGTGAACCTAACTGGATTTCAGCTCCATTTTTACAGAGGAAACTGGGGAGGACAACAGGCGTATGCCCAGGGAACCACATGCTCCCAATGTCCATCTGGGACGACATGTCAGACGAGCACTGGTCTCTGCGCAAGCGGAAGTGGAGCCACGACGACCCCATCCTCCGTCACCACAGTCAAAACGACTACAGCTCAAGGAGCCGGCACACCTTGTCAACAGTGTGCCCGCAACGTGGACACACTCAACGAGCAGTACTATCCTAATCTGGGAACGGTCTCTTTTGCCTACAGGTATACAATTCCTGAGATCTCCGAGAGCAAGAAATAGCAAAAAATTGATGAAAATACAATAATTTAACATAAAAATATCCTTTTTTTCAAATAGACAAAGAAAGTAATAAGCTTTCATTCCAAGACTATTTTTGACAATATGGCCCATAGAAGTTTGAGAAAGCGAGTGGCTTTCCAGCGTAGCTGATCTCGAACCTTCTTGATATTAGCCTTGGTCACAACGGTCGCTTTACCACCGGGACGTCCGGGACGATCAGACTTTGTTCCTAACTCTCGAAAGCGTTTGATCGCGTTGTAAACAAGTTATTTGCGTATCATCGAGCGCTTAGTGATATCCATCGCTAGAACGCCACGCCTGTGTGGGTCGATGATCGCGTCTTGGTGCACTCACTTTTTGGCCATTCTAAAGAGAAATTTTTTGAGAAAAAATAGTAACTTAATAGTTAAATAAATAGAATAAACCAAAAGAGAGACAAAACAATATATAAACTGTAAGCAAAAATATGGAATATCGAAGGTACCCCAAGTCACCGTAATCCTGGGAAACCTTGTACTTTTAGAACTGACCCAGCCAACGGCAATTGTTTGATCGCCGATTGGTACTGCAAAGTCGACGCTCCCTATCAAACGGTTGGTTTGATAAGAAGAAATACAGAAAGTAATACTCCAGAAAAGCATAAGCTAGTACATTTGTATGATTATACCATTCTTTCCCTTCAAGGCCGGCTTCCAACTGTACACTGGCGGTCCAAGCTACATGACTCAAGTATTGGATTATAACAACATTGTCGGCATCACCTATGTAAGTCATCGGAATGACTTGGAATTCTTAGGGCTATCAGGCGTCACTATTTTAAGAAGAAGGATTTGTTTAATATTTTGAAAATCTACAGTTGGGCGCCAACGACACGACCGCTAACGGCAAATACAAGCCGTTTGTGTGCAACAGTGCATCCCAATGGAGCTTCAACGGAGTGGTCAGTGAAAAAAATATGGGTTTCACTTTAACTTAGACTTACTCAAGGTTATTAGAGGTTGTTAGGGTGAGAATAAACGTCACATCAATATAATTGAAGCTGCTTTCAGAGTGATCTTGTCTTGGATTGCTTCGCCTACAGTTAAAGATGCTTGTCTATTCATCTACTGTACATTGTATAAATATATTGTATTATCGGAAATAAATTGTGTCTCGAACAATTATCAGTTACATGAGAATAAGTTTATTACGCTACATAAACTTAACTTCTGGATTCTTTTGAACAAATCGCCTTTTCGATTGACTAACCTAATAAATTCAACAAAGAAATCTGTGTCTATCTCTGAATACTTTCAAGCATTCGTTTCTGAATAACTCTGATCCAATAAAAACTGTCAGAATTTAGAATTTACTGTTGGACTCTCCCCAGAGTTTTGGGAGAGTCCAACAGTCTCGAGACCTTTAAATTATCTTTAGATGATCTTGATCTTGAAGCTCTAGTGGATTCTTGACGTTATCTGTGTTACCTATATATCGTGTTGCTTTTTATCGGTCCTTTTCGTGTTTATGCGTATGAATTCATGTGTATTAATATTAAATCTTGCGTACTTTATTTCATGTCCTGAATAAGGTATTTATCATTTAGTCGTATTTTCTGGCATTGCTCACGGTTTTGTTAAAAAAATTATACGGATAATATTTTGACGTTCATTTGATGATTCACAATATTGTTCATGTTGCTTAATATTGAGGCTGATTCATTTTTCTAATAGCACTAATTTTTCTTTTGTACTGTGAATTTTCTTATTTGCTATTGTTTGTATGAGTGTTTGATTGAAAAATAATAAAAACAGCTAAAAACTAATTAACTTCTGAATAAAAACAATGGAGAATCACTGATAATTAAACTGAGCTATTCATTGTCAGATTCGGTTTCACATAACATTCGTTAAGCAAAAATCACTGATGAGCTTAACAGATTTTTATTTAGTATGCTTTTTGATGATTCTCCTCCTTTCCATCTCACAATTCCCGATGCTCTTCACCAATATTTATTGCATCAATCCCAGCCTAAAATAGAAAGTGATAGTGTAGCTATTGTATTTAAAATCTTACAGCATCGGTCACTGTATCCTTTTTGTATCCCCGCCTGGTGGAATGTGAAACTGTAGTGAAAATTTTAAACTACTTGCTGAAATGACACTTACAGTAATCATTTGCTACAAAAGTTGTTTTTTACAAACCATACAATGGATTGCTCATTGGGGAACTGATAACTTTCCGGATTGATCGTCACCTTTTATCAGTTTGAAAGAATTGATAAGCGGTGTCTGTCGTTGAATTCGGTGTCGGTGATTAAAATGACCTAAAAAGCTGATTTCATCTTTCTCCCTTTCATTGTGTTTTCTAAAAGAGTTGCCAACCGTTAAAAGGAAAAAGATAAGCTTTTCCTGCCTGACGCAACCAATTTGATCATTAATTTTCTTAAGTCACTATTTCAAAAACATTTCCGTTTTTGATAAAATTCAGCTAAAAAGGGTTTACCAACTAAATTTTTGAACTAAATTTTTAGCAAGTCATAGAAATCTGTATTTGAAAACTTCTTTGTTTCAGTAAAATGTGGCTATTATCGTATTCAGTACTCGGTCTAATTTCTCCCGTCTTCACTTTACCTTTGGTATGTTATTCATTGAAAACGATCTGGTAATGGAGTTTGAATCCAAGCTGGTACTAGAGTTTTGAAACATTAGAAACATTTCTATCTTATTCACACTTATCCGTGATATGGCAACTTAAGACCAAAAACTACAAGCTCTTCAACGAATCGCCGACTGTTCGATTGACCGCCCAAAATTTCGCACAGGTATCAAAAATGTACCACATGTGAACCAAAACATCATCAAAATTCGAGTTTAAAGCTAATTTCAAGATTTTTGGCTTTTTTGGAGTGCCAAACACCTTTACACTTTAAAAGTTGACCAAATCGCAAAAGTAAAATGTTTTCATTAGAGAATCGACCCAAATTTGCAATACTTCTTCAAGAAATTAACCAAGTTCTTGGTTTTTTCAAAAACCTAGTTTTCGAGTGTAGTGTATCGATTAGAAACACACTTTTTCACCTACCTATTTTTACCGATCCAGCACTTCAGGAAGTCAACTCCTCACCGAATCCTTGGATAATTGTTATCTATAGCGAATCAAGTGAATCATGCGAACGGTAAGAAATAAAGTTAAACTAATCAAATTAAAAAATAATCGCTTTAGCTATTCAAAAGTAGGATGGCCGAAGCTGGTCAAGGCTATTGGGGAGTGGGAAGACAAATTTTCGGAGATATTCGGAAAAAATCAGGTAATCGTGATAGACTTGAGAACCAAGTTTAAATTGTTGCGTTAGATGGGCGCAATCGAAGAAGGTGAGGGACTTTTTGCGACAAATGAGTACGATTTTCCGATCATCAAGATTTTCCCTCCGAACTCGAGTGGTCAGTTTGATATCATTATCAGTTTTTAAATTGTATTTGATTAGTTAATTAGTGAGACAAACACTAGCGCAGAAAAATGCTGTGTTTTTAACTTTTCCAAAGAAATTTTAAGATTGTATATTTAGGAGTACCGTTAAGCAAGAAAATCAACTGGTACAGCCCCGATGCAATGCTCGAGATTTTGTTGGCCATTCATCAAATCAGTAAAGAAGAGGTTAGACTCGTGAATTTACCATGGACCTACCAGATCTAGGTTTTACCAAAAACATCGCAAGAATGGACCACGCGAATCGACAAAATTTGGGACAATTGGCAAAAAGAGTTGGCATTGGCCAATAAGGGAGGTTTGTATCAGTTTGGGCTTTTTCAATCTTGATGACTTTCGGTTTTGGAAGATAATTTATATTTATTTTAAATTGATCTAGATACAGTTTAAACAATTTTCAGAAAAAGTCGTTCTGGAGACTTACACGCAAATCATCCGGACAGTCACAACTACAAGTGTCGTGAATCCTTTCCGTTTGTTCATCGGCGTCATTTTTCTGTTTCTCCTTTGTTTGAAATGGATCGTGAAATGTGGTGACACGGGTGTCCCTGAAGATAATGAGCATGAAGAACCAGAAACGAGTTTCCATAGAGCTCCTGAATACTCGTATGATCATCCCCAGCCATAGGCACAGTCACAGGCAATTCCACTTCGGCCTCCATGACTACTTCCAATTATTTTTCCTTTTCACTAAATGCTTTTATTGCAATCTCCAGTATAAAGCGCTTTTATCAGCTTTCAACTCTATTTTCCACAAAATTCAACGAATTCTCTTTTAATAAATAAAATTTTCCACATTTTGTACACGCAAAAGTCATCACAATCTGAAATTTGTAGCTGTCACCTGTCCAAATTTTTGGAAAGAAGTTTTGCCTTAAATTTGTTGGTATTTTTGAACAATTTCAAGGAAATGCAAAAACATTTGTTCTCTGAGGATCCTCGTTGATTCAGAAGTAGCCGAACGGAGAGAACAATGCGACTCAAGACCTACATAAAGCTATACTAATGGCATGAGTCCTTAAAGATACTGCTCAATGCTCAATCTTTGACATTTCTGTCCTCATGAATGTGACAGCAACGATTGATTCAAGCTAATTACAAAAACCCTGAAAAATAACTAGCTATTTACTTAAATAATCAAACTTATTTGAACATTTGCTTTCTTCATTTCCGAGTGGAAATGCAGGTGCAAATGCAGTTGGGAATGTCAACTGGAAAAGTGGAAAAATCCCAGAGTGGAAAATCGACTCCGACAAAAACTTTCAAATCTATATTAAATTGGGATGATGCTCGATGCGCCATCGTTTTATTTATGGTTTGAGTCCGCTTTGGCCATTGTGTCGACTCCATTGAATTTCTTGGCTTTGTTTTGCATTGTGAAGAAAACCCCGCCTGAAATGAATGACTATCGATCACATTTAGTCGTGTATCAGGTAACTTGGAGATTTTTATTTCTTATAAAAAATCATTAGATTCTAACGATGGCATTGGACTTTGTGCTCAGCTCCATACGACCTGAGTTGAATTTTCCGGCCTTATCGGGCAGGATTTTTGGAATCTGGGATACCGTTTTTGAATTTGGAGCCCGGCAAGCTTTGGTAAGAATTGCGTGAAGCCTAAACTAAATGCTTGCCAATCAATTTACTGAAACTCACAATATTATTCCATTTTCTAAAGATTTCAAACAATCTAAAGCCCGGCAAAGAGTATTCAAAGTCACAGGTGTTAAATCCAATCTCAAAAACCAAGCACTAGATTGATGGGAAATGGACCTGACGATCCGACAAATTTCCAGGGTTGCGGTTCATTTCTCGTGGGTGCTGTTTCTTGTTCAATCAATCAGCTCTTTTTCTACAAATGGCAGAGTTTGCTAGCTGAGGATCATTTTCTCAAGTAAACAACACTTTATCTTAACTGAGTTTTCTCAGATTATCTAGTCGTGGTCGTTTGCTTTATCTTCTTTTAATATATGGAATTTTTCCCTTAAACATTTCTCTCGGCTTTGAGTTAGCTAGTTATGAAAAGGGACCGACAAGTGAGAATATGCGGGAAATGTTACAGGTTGGTGAATTTGAAAAGGGGAGATTCAAACTTTGTTGTACCCAACCCAATCTTTTTGGATACCAGATTCATCAACGATTCCTAAATGGATTGTGTAAATGGATTTAGTACAGGAGGAGCTACAGTAACGGACAGAACCATTGGTCTGGTTCTAGTCTAAAATATAGTGAGATAGAGTTACATTGCGGGAATGATATGAAATCAAATCTGGATCCTTTCAAATCTGGTATCAGATCTTGAAAAGTGGAAATTGAATTTGACGCGAAATGAGAAGTGCCTCGTTTTTGATGTATTTATGAAAATTGCATTGCTTTTCTTAAGGAACACCCATCTTACGCATATCTTGCGAACTATCCTGATATTTATGTCGCGAAAATGGGCCCCGTTTATCCACCGTATATCAATTTGAAAGCCCTACATATTGTGCTGTTCATGATCTTTTTCACCGTACTCATCATGACAATACTGGTTGGTTTCCTAGTTCAAAACAAACAAAAGATGATTTAGGATTTTTTTTACCTAATCTCATGCGATAAGATCATTGACAAGTTTTCTCCACATATCAGTGAGAAAAATAGGAAGATACAGAAAAAGTTTTTCCGAGCACTTTGCATTCAGGTGGGTGAGGATGAAGTTCTTACTTTAAGCCACAATTAGAGCTGAATGGAAAAATCTAGAGTTACAATACTTGAGTTACAGTTAGCGATCCCGCTCAGCTCACACACGATTCCATGGGTATCTTACGGCATAATCGTTTGCTTAGACACCGGATACATCAATCAACGTATTTTATGAAAAAGAATGATTTAATGATAGATTTCTAGCGTTGAACAATTTCCTCTTTGCACTCGTCGGTGCACACGGGGCAGAGTCGGCGATTGCTCTTTTTGTTGTCACCGAACCGTATCGGGTTTATATTTTGGAGATTCTTGCGAAAGTACCAATAGTGGGACACTTTATTGTCCCTTTCAGAAAGAATCGACCACTAAAAATCGTTCCATCAACGCTTAATATTTGATGAAGGTTTATGATAGTTGGTTATTTATGAATTTCTAGTCATAAAGTTTGTTCTTCTTGGCTAAAGCATTCTCTAAAAGATACCTATTTGCAAGTAATATCGTAATGAAGCCACCAGTCTTGATTCAGTTAATTTGATTTTGGTATCAATTGATGAGAAATCACATGGCTCGATCAATAATACGAAAATCAAATGAAACTAGCGGTTTTATTACGGTAGCTTGCGTGCCTTTTAGTTTTTTAGTTGTTCGGTTGTTCAAAAAAAGCTTCTGGACATTTTAAGTTTTATTAGTTGTAAGTTCTTCAAATTCTTTACAAAAGTTTGTGATTGGTAAGTTTACTTACAAAAGTAAGAACAGCACAAAGCAATGTAAAGCAAACTTGGGATACCTCTAAAGGTTATGAAAACTAACCACAAAGCTCAAAATGATAAGGTTACAAATGTGAACTTTACGTTATGAAATTTAAAAACTCAATTGAACCTTTTTAAAGTATAAAGAAATAGACTATTTCATAACACAAGTTGAACTGAACTGCTTGCTTGCAAGTCATAGTTGAACTGAACTGCTTGCTATTTCACGAAGAGCTGTACTTCATCCATGAATTGCCGAAAACCGTAGCAGCAAGAATTACAAAATACCAAAATCAAATGAAACTGGCGGTTTGATTACGGTAGCTTTTAGGTAGTTGTTCGGTTGTTTAAAAAAAGCTTCTGGACATTTTAAGTTTTATTAGTTGTACGTTTTTTCTTCAAATTATTTACAAAAGTAAGAACATAGATAGTTTGAAAAAAGCACAAAGCAATGTAAAGCAAACTTGGGATACCTCTAAAAGTTATGAAAAATAACCACAATGAAAGAATTGAGAAAATATTTGATTCAAGAATTGAAAAGTGATAAATTTCAAGAATGCAAGAGATTTTCTTGGATTTCTCTTTGGATTAATGTGGATCCAGAAGTTGAAAGCAATGCTTTGGATGTTGATATCTTTGAAAAGAGTCTAGAAACATTTTTGCGTATCAACAAAGCTCGAAACTGGTTAAAAAGGGGACGATAAGCACAGGACACTCAATTTTATTCAACCATTTGTTTCTTTTTGTTCTATCTCTTCAAATCATGACCTTTTTTGTTTCTGTTGTTAGAATATGCAATAAATTTTCTATTTTGTTTTATCAAGACAAGCAAAACTTTATTATCAAGGTTAAGATCATATCAGGGAATGTAGAAAAAGGGCTTATCAAAAAAAAAACTAGCATTTGGCATTTGCTAACACATTTTCATCAACAATTGCGTCTCCACGAATCGTTTCGGAAAAATCGGATGACTAAACAAACTGATGCAGAAAATCCATGTCCTATTTTCAAATTCCTTTTTGTAAAATCGTTGCCATTTCTCTTTAACTTCGGCATTTAGATATTTACATTTCGAGTACCATTCTTGATATTTTCCATCAAAATCCTGCACAAAATTCACAGGCAATAGTCCGGTAACTGGGCGTTGAAAAGCCAAAACTTTATTCTCATCCATTTTACAATTTTTCTCAAAGTATTCAGAGAATTCAAGAACTTCTGAAGAATTTTCATCGATTAAAAGCAAATCCGAATCATCAAGCATTTCTTCTAAAGTCTCTTTGATTCGACTTGGGCAAGGGTTGTTGAATCTCATGCTTGTTCTTGTGTCAATTTTCCCACGTAAACCCACAGCCAACACTTGGTTTTCTTGAAAGATTTGGCTCCCGACCATGAATCTCATAGCTTCTTCAATCTGTTCTAAACCTGTTAAATTCAAATGAATCACAATTTTAGGCTTTATTGCCATCAATTCATTCCAGTAAATCCCTTCCACTGCACTCCAGGAGATTTCCTTACAATTCTGAATCTTCAAACTTTTCTGATCTTCACTCAGAAAAGCTCTGATCTCATCCCGTTTTTTTCGCTGATTTCTAGCCAAAATCAATTGACAACGATCGAGAATTTGAGGCTGAAAATTGTCGAGAACGAATTTATCAACAATGTAACGACTCGTTTCCAACTCAAAGCTTGACAAAGTTTTGATAAACGGTAGAAATTTTGTCTTAACAAAAAGCAATTCCGACAACAATTCAAAACATTGCTCTGATTTGATACCATATTGACAATATGCCTCAATTTGAATCGATTTGCACGAAGAAATTTGGTTTATTAGACCCCAAAAAGCCCTCCAATGAAGCGAATCGGGTTTGATTTGATTCCAAGAAGATTTCTCTAACCTTGTCGAGATTTCCAATTCGAATCCAATTTGAGTAAAATCCTCATCATTAACATCAAAATCCTCGTAACTCAAGGCAATTTTCTGAATCTTTTGCGGAAAAGTTTTATGCCGAATATAATATTGAAATTCTTTGTTTGATTGAGATAAATTTAGATAGGTAATAATCTCGACATTGTCAAGAATTAAACTTTTAAGTTCTTGCGGCAAAAATCGAATTGGAAACGGCATAAAAATAACAAAAAAGTCAAAGAGTTTTTTCGAAAAAGCCTTTCATCAATCAATATTTGTTTTTCCTATCTCGCAATCTCCCCTTTTCGAGTGCCTTCTCTCTTTCTTTTGTCACTTTTCACAACTCTATGGGAATCGTGAAATCGTGAAAACTGAGGTCACTTATTTACTTTTAATCTTATTTTAATCTCCATTAGATTTAAAAATGCAACATTTTCCCCTCACCACTCTTCCAAATGAGCTATTTCAAAAACATTTCCGTTTTTGATAAAGTTCAGCTAAAAAGGGTTTACCAACTAAATTTTTGAACTAAATTTTTAGCAAGTCATAGAAATCTGTATTTGAAAACTTCTTTGTTTTAGTAAAATGTGGCTATTATCGTATTCAGTACTCGGTCTAATTTCTCCCGTCTTCACTTTACCTTTGGTATGTTATTCATTGAAAACGATCTGGTAATGGAGTTTGAATCCAAGCTGGTACTAGAGTTTTGAAACATTAGAAACATTTCTATCTTATTAACACTTATCCGTGATATGGCAACTTAAGACCAAAAACTACAAGCTCTTCAACGAATCGCCGACTGTTCGATTGACCGCCCAAAATTTCGCACAGGTATCAAAAATGTACCACATGTGAACCAAAACATCATCAAAATTCGAGTTTAAAGATCTAATTTCAAGATTTTTGACCTTTTTGGAGTGCCAAACACCTTTACACTTTAAAAGTTGACCAAAGCGCAAAAGTAAAATGTTTGCATTAAAGAATCGACCCAAATTTGCAATACTTCTTCAAGAAATTAACCAAGCTCTTGGTTTTTTCAAAAACCTAGTTTTCGAGTGTAGTGTATCGATTAGAAACACACTTTTTCACCTACCTATTTTTACCGATCCAGCACTTCAGAAAGTCAACTCCTCACCGAATCCTTGGATAATTGTTATCTATAGCGAATCAAGTAAATTATGCAAACGGTAAGAAATAAAGTTAAACTAATCAAATTAAAAAATAATCGCTTTAGCTATTCAAATGTAGGATGGCCGAAGCTGGTCAAGGCTATTGGAGAGTGGGAAGACAAATTTTCGGAGATATTCGGAAAAAATCGGGTAATCGTGATAGACTTGAGAACCAAGTTTAAATTGTTGCGTTAGATGGGCGCAATCGAAGCAGGTGAGGGACTTTTTGCGACAAATGAGTACGATTTTCCGATCATCAAGATTTTCCCTCCGAACTCGAGTGGTCAGTTTGATATCATTATCAGTTTTTAAACTGTATTTGATTAGTTAATTAGTAAGACAAACACTAGCGCAGAAAAATGCTGTATTTTTAACTTTTCCAAAGAAATTTTAAGATTGTATATTTAGGAGTACCGTTGAGCAAGAAAATCAACTGGTACAGCACCGATGAAATGCTCGAGATTTTGCTTGCCATTCATCAAATCAGTAAAGAAGAGGTTAGACTCGTGAATTTACCATGGACCTACCAGATCTAGGTTTTGCCAAAAACATCGCAAGAATGGACCACGCGAGTCGACAAAATTTGGAACAATTGGCAAAAAGAGTTGGCTTTGGCCAATGAGGGAGGTTTGTATCAGTTTGGGCTTTTTCAATCTTGATGACTTTCGGTTTTGGAAGATAATTTATATTTATTTTAAATTGATCTAGATACAGTTTAAACAATTTTCAGAAAGAGTCGTTCTGGAGACTTACACGCAAGTCATCAGCACAGTCACAACTACAAGGGTCGTGAATCCTTTCCGTTTGTTCATCGCCGTCATTGTTCTGTTTCTCCTTTGTTTGAAATGGATCGTGAAATGTGGTGACAAGGGTGTCCCTGAAGATAATGAGCATAAAGAACCGGAAACACGGTCACAGGCAATTCCACTTCGGCCTCCATGACTACTTCCAATTATTTTTCCTTTTCACTAAATGCTTTTATTGTAATCTCCAGTATCAAGTGCTTTTGTCAGCTTTCAACTCTATTTTCCACAAAATTCAACGAATTCTCTTTTGATAAATAAAATTTTCCACATTTTGTACAAGCAAAAGTCATCACAATCTGAAATTTGTAACTCTCACCTGTCCAAATTTTTGGAAAGAAGTTTTGCCTTGAATTTGTTTGTATTTTTGAACAATTTCAAGGAAATGCAAAAAGATCTGTTCTCTGAGGATCCTCGTTGATTCAGAAGTAGCCAAACGGAGAGAACAATGCGACTCAAGACTTACATAAAGCTATACTAATGGCATGAGTCCTTAAAGATACCGCTCAATGCTCAATCTTTGACATTTCTGTCCTCATGAATGTGACAGCAACGATTGATTCAAGCTAATTACAAAAACCCTGAAAAATAACTAGCTATTTACTTAAATAATCAAACTTATTTCAAGATTTGCTTTCTTCATTTCCGAGTGGAAATGCAGCTGGGAATGTCAACTGGAAAAGTGGAAAAGTCCCAAAGTGGAAAATCGACTCCGACAAAAACTTGCAAATCAATATTAAATTGGGATGATGCTCGATGCGCCATCGTTTTATTTATGGTTTGAGTCCGCTTTGGCCATTGTGTCGACTCCATTGAATTTCTTGGCTTTGTTTTGCATTGTGAAGAAAACTCCGCCTGAAATGAATGACTATCGATCACATTTAGTCGTGTATCAAGTAACTTGGAGATTTTTATTTCTTATAAAAAATCATTAGATTCTAACGATGGCATTGGACTTTGTGATCAGCTCCATACGACCTGAGTTGAATTTTCCGGCCTTATCGGCAGGATTTTTGGAATCTGGGATACCGTTTTTGAATTTGGAGCCCGGCAAGCTTTGGGAAGAATTGCGTGAAGCCTAAACTAAATGCTTGATTGAGAGAATCGCTCGGGAGAATCATGCGAGCCGCAGCCGAGCGAGATTCGCTGCACTTCCAAGGGATCCCCACTGAGAAGTTCACGACCATGCCAGTGGTCCAGAACTTCGCAAAGCAACAACAGAAAGGTGGCGGCAAACGGGACACATTTCAGCCGGTCCCACAAAAGGTGCTCGATGCGAGACAAAAAGCTTGCGGCTTTTGTCGAACCCAGGACACTCATTGGTCGACTGAGTGCCCCCTGCCGGTACAAGAGCGCTGGAGAAAGGCGAAAGAGTTCAAACTGTGCTACAACTGTCTGCGAGGCGGGCATGGTTTGAACAATTGCCGATCAATAGGATGTCGCACCTGCAACAAACCGCACCACACATCCTTGTGCTCAAAAGGGGCTGACCAGAAGCCATCAAACGTTCCAGCGAAACAGCAGCAAGCACAGTACCGACCTCCAAGGGTTCAAGCCAACCCTCCTCGTTCATTCACAAATGCGACCCCAGCATTGGGTCCGGAGGCGGTAGTGATTTCGGCGGGTCGTTTGCGAGACGGTGAAGCGTTGGTGACTGGGGAAGTGCGTCTCTTCAACCCAGACAGCTAAATCACGGGCACAACACTAGCGTTCTTCGACTGTGGTGCCAACAAAACGTACATGACGAGACAAGCAGCTGATGCTCTCAAGCTTGTGACCGGTCCGCCAAAGCAGTTCGAGAGCATTGAGCGGACCGACACCAGAGAGAGAATCGGTCGGATCGATCGGTCTTGCCTTTCCCACATTTGCAGCCGACGATGAGGAAACACTGAGTGAACGAGTAGCTCAGTGGATGCAAGCCGAGCGAGTTGGGTTAGAAGACATAAACGCGAACGACGACGAGCTGGCGTGGTCGTTGTTCAAAAGCAAGACACAGTTCAAGAACGGTCGATTCCACGTGAGCCTACCGTTAAAAGATCAAGATGCACCCGTTCCGAACAACTTGGGGTTAGCCATTCAGCAGTTGGTTGCTTGGTACAAGAGAGCGGAACCGGCAGCACGAGAGAAAGCTGCCAAGGGGTTCGAAGAATGGAAAAACGGAGACATAATTGAAGAGGTGCCACCGGCTCAGAGCCGTCGTACGGGAGAGTAACGTATCATCCATTCCATCAAATTTCTAAGAAGGCGAGAATTGTGCACAATGCGAGTGCAACAAAGAAAGGAGAGATCTCGTTGAACGGGCGATTGTTCAAGGGACCGACGATGCTGCCTCATTTGGTGGGAATGCTGTTCAGATTCAGAGCCTGGGAATCGATTGCGTTGGGGGACATCAAAGGAGCGTACCTTCAACTTGCTCTGAATAACGCCGACAAAGATCTGCTTCGCTTTGTCGCGCCACGCGACTGGAGTTTACCAATCTCCTCTCAAAACATCGTCCACATGCGGTTCAAGCGATTGAACTTTGGTCTCGTTTGCTCAGCTTTCTTGCTGGCTGGAGCGTTGAAACTGCTTTTCGCAGAAGATGGAGCAATTGGTGAAGAGATTTTGAAGAATTGCTACGTGGACAATATCATGGCCACCGGAGATAGCACTGAAGAGGCGGCTGAGAAGTTGAAATATGCGAAGAAACGACTGGCCGATGCCTCAATGGAGTTGAGAGATCTCGTGTCCAATGATCACGAGCAAAATGTGGAGTGGAACTTTGCTCACGAAGCAATGAAGATGTTGGGATTGAACTGGCGAATCTACGACGAGATTCTCGAGTTCGAGATTCCAGTGCTCGATTGGAAGGACATGACCAAGCGAAAGCTCCTCTCGTGGATCGCTTGTGTGTATGATCCGCTGGGCTTGCTGAGTCCAGTTTTCTTCAAATACCGATTGATTTTTCGTGAACTATGCCACACACCGTTGAAGTGGGATGAGAAGCTCCCAGATGCACTGGTTCTCAAGCTGCAAGAGCTTGAGACAAGAACGAGTAGCACGAAAATTCAAGTGCCACGAAAAGTTTTGCCGAAGAGTGATGGTGATCTAGAGCTACATGTTTTTGTCGATGCCTCGAAAGTCGGATTCGGGATGAACGCCTACTTGAAGCCGCAAGATGCAGAACACACCCCTCACTTGCTCTATGCCAAGTCCAAGTTGGCTCCCGAAGGTTGCAAATCAGCACCAAAACTCGAGTTAACGGCCGCTGATGCGGGAACAAAAATGGCGGACTTCATCGAAAAGCACGTTGACAAACCGATAAAGAAAGTCGTCATTTGGTCCGACAACCAGTCGGTATTGCATTGGATCGCGGGTCAAAAATGGGAGACATTGGGGAAATACGCCACCCAAAAGTTGCAATCGATTCTGAAGTACCCAGCAGAATTTCGTTACATTCCGACACACTGGAACCCTGCGGATGTATCATCAAGGGGATGTACACCCGAAAAATTGGCCGAAGACGAACAATAGTGGCACGGGCTAAGTTTCTTGAAGCTGAAGAGAGAACAGTGGCCACAGTTTGAGCTCCCACCATTTGAGAATGAGCCATGTGCGGAAATGACGGAAATGGTCGCGGTGAGCAAGAGTGAATCACCGTACGAGTCAAGAGTGGATCCGGCGAGCGTGTCCTCTTGGGTGGAATTGACACAAAGACTCGGCGAAACGGTCAAAAGTCCGAGTGATACAGTGGGAGAGGTGATGCGAAAGGGTGAAATCGAAGCGTTTCGGGAAGCACAAAAGAGAAATCCACCCTCCCGCTGCACGTGCCGATCGCTCGCTCTATTCAAAGACGAGGCTGATCTTTGGAGGGCAACGTCACGGACACTGAATCGTGAGATCAATGGCGAAGCGGAGCACCCAATTTTCATGTCAGGCAACGACCCAGCAGCAAGGCTGTACGCTCAACACATACATGTTCGTTTGCAGTGCGCCGGAGGGGCCACAATTTTGGCGGAGATCCGGAAGAACGTCTGGATCCCAAAGGGTTGTCTCTTCAATTGCCTGACCACAAGAGCAGTACATTTTGAACTGCTTTTCTCGTTGAGCGCTGTAGAGCTTGTACGTGGAATCAGAAGGTTCATTGCAAGAAGAGGCTGCCCTAGACTTTTCATGAGCGACAATGGAACAAATTTTCAGGCGACAGGCCCTTTCATTGAATCGTGGACACCCGAAGAGCACGAGAAATACCACAAGTACACGATGGAAAAGAAGATCGTGTGGCGACACATTCCAAGTGTATCCCCTTGGCAAGGCGGATTTTTAGGAGCGAATGGTTCGTTTGTTGAAAGACTCGTTGAGACGAGCAATCGGGACCGCGTTGCTGTCGAGTGAAGACTTTCGTACCTTGGTGGTTGAAGCTGAAGCGGTGGTGAACAGCAGACCGATCACGTACTTGACTGAAGAAGATCGCGTACTGCGTCCAATTGATTTCTTGATGCCAAACTCCAAGATTGGTCTTCCCAGTGAAATAGAAAACTTCAACTACGACGCTTATGAAGAGGGGGTGATTTCGACGGCCAAGCAAGCACTACGAGCCTCATGGAAGAGTGCAGTCAATCGACTCGATTATTTCTGGAAGGCCTTCAGTGAGGACTACCTGCTCGCATTGCAAGCTAGAGGGACGAGAGGCTTGAAGCAGCCACGTGGAGCTATCAAGCGACAACCAAGAGTGGGAGAGGTTGTGCTGGTGCACGAGGAAAACCGTCCTCGAGCTGCTTGGAGATGCGCAAAGATTGCGCGAATCATTGAAGGGGTCGACAATCAGGTCCGATCTGCTGTAATCGAGATGGAAAATGGTCGCCAATCGCTGCGGTCAATTGCCCTTCTGTACCCTTTGGAAGGAGATGTCGAAGATGAGCAAGCGGCAGCAGATGAAGAGCCAAGAGAAGTAACGCCAGAAGAGGTGCTGGTGAACACATCCCCAGAAGAGAGGCACGAAGATGGTGAGGCAACAAGAAAACGCCCAAGTACAACTTGCGTACAAGAAAGCCGAAGAACTACGTGTACTTCGTGCTGGTGACCTTGATGGCACTGATGAGTGGGATATCCGCGAGTGGATGCCGGGGAGTGCTAGTCTATCAAGAGTACTGCCTCCCCAAGGGCCTTGCGGTCTACAACAACGATGGCTGAGGATGTGCTGAAGAGATCGATTCGGGGACATGCATTTGAGATCAGTGAGCCCTGACAGTCCGGCGAAAACCCACTGTCGAGTCCCCTGCAAATGTCCGGATTGGGCTCAAGATTGCGGCTACCAACCGCACACCATGAGCTACGACGACAAATTCGACAACTGGATGCGACGATTGGCTTCAGACGTTTGTTGGACCGCTGAAGAGGAATGCCCGGTGCCACGAATGAAACGCCTACACAAGATTGAGCTGTTCAATGGACAACAGTACATGATCGAGGAATTTTCAATTGTGAGAAAGCAAGCTGCCAAGCCGTTCTGCACGGGGAACGGGGAGATCACGGGATCAATTGACTACTGCAAAAAATTCCCATGTGCGCCGAACGGAACGAGGTTTTGTCTCCTGCCACACCACGAGTACGCATTCTTGCAGACACCACAAGGAGAAATTCCGATGCGAGCATGGGCCGTGATAGATATGACGGTCTACGAGAGAGCACCGAAAAGAGTGAGCGAGACAGAGCACTGTCCAAATGTGACGATCAGTTGCACCAACGAGGGATTCGAGATCAAGGGTAGCCATCGGTGTGTGGACTTGATGGAAGTCTGTGCGACTGTGGGCGCAAAGAGAGACTGCACCCACTATGAAGAGGCACCCGAAATCATCCGCCCAATGCCACCAAAAGAGTTTTTGGTCCACGAACACCGCGGAGACGTCACGGTCTGGCGCGATGGGACAATCACTTCACAAGACTCGATCGCGTGCCCAGCCAAAGACATCTGTGCCGTAACAAATTGTTTGGTGTGCTGGACAGCATATTTCACGCCGAGGTGCGCTGTCGTGCGAATCGGTGGCACGATGATTCGAGTGATTTTGGGCGTGTTGAGCCTCGCGGGCATTGTTTTGACGATCAAAAGTTGAGAAGATATCGACAACGGCGAGCGTGGGCCACCCCAAGAAATTTGATGAGAATGTCCGTCTTCCTTCTGCTCCCGCGTGTGGTTGGAGGATGTGGGCAAATCGTGGCTTTCCACGCACAAAGTCGGCAGTGTCAAGTACACCGTAATGTGATGGTGTCGTGCACATTCGACGAAGCAACAATGATGACCTTACGAGGACATGAAGAGGCGTGCATCGTGCTCAGGGATCACGAGGGCCGGCCCGTGACGACTTTACGAGTTTTCGCGACGCCGTACTATCGTTGTTCACCTACTCGAGAAGATGCGGTGGGATGGGAGAGTGCACAGGGACACGATGTTCAAAAGTTGAGCCAGAAACGGAGCTGGACGAGTTCAAGGACGTGAACGGCCGACCTGGAGTGACTCGATGCCAAGAAGCGTGTTCGGGGCCCGGTTGCGGGTGCCTGACGTTTGCAAGTGGTTGATTTTTCTGGAGAACATACGTCGAGCCGCGAAATGAGGATATCATTGAAGTGACCGAATGCGAATGGGAACAAGGACTCGAAATTGAATGGCTATTTGGCGATGGAAAAGGAGGAAAGTCAATTGTCAAGGCGGGAGAGACCGTCAAAGGTGACGGAATCGAGATCGGGGCCCTGACAATTGCATCGGATCGGACTCTTCTCCCCAGAACTTTTGCGAAAACGAACGAAAGGACAAGGATCTTTTCGGAAAGTGAAATCCAGGCAGCCCGATTATTCGTCTGCCCAAACAAAGAGAATGCTGCAGGACTGACGAAGGAGTGCCGACTCGACTCGAAGCAAATTGATTGCCGTCAAGCGGATGACCGGATGTTGTGCGAGAGTCGCGGTAACGATTTTCTGGTCGACGAGTCGAGACTTCTGCCACAATTGATTGGAGAGAATCTCTACAAGGAGACGGACGACGAGATCAAGGTGCAAGCCAAAGGCTCATCCACCATTCAAGTCAAGATCAGTGGATTGAAGGCGCAGACACAAGTGGATGTGTCGGCGTGTCATTTGATGGAAAGCGAGCTGACCGGCTGCTTTGCGTGTGACTGGGGACCAGACTGGGGCCAGCCTGAAGTACCTTTGTCGTTCCGACTTCGGTAAACAGCTGGCCGAACTGCAATGCGGAACGATCTCGGCGGTACTCCAATGCGATGGCACCCAGCAGAGACGAGTGACCAACATGAGATTCCTACAAGCGGTGATCGACCAAGAGTGCGAACTGAAGTGTCCAGGTGGGACAAGGAAAGCGAGGGTCACCGGTCAACTCGTCTACGTTCCAAACTACGGAAATCGATGGACCTAAAAAAATCTTATTGAAATCTTATTTAATGTTTTGATTTGAATGTCTGATTTGCTTGTCCCGCCTCTGAAAGATTGCTTTTAAGATAAAGGGACGGATACAAGGGTCCGCCCACTTTACATTGGCACTTTTCATATTCTTTCCGTATATTCCTTTCGTATCGCTATTAAACACTGAACCAACGATTAATCCTATTTTATTGTATTTTCTTGCTAGATTCAGAATAAATATCTAATAATCAACGCCACTATCGGTATTCTAAGTAAAATGTGGTTATTATATTTGGTACTCGGGCTAATTTCTCCCGTCTCCACTTTGCCTTTGGTATGTTATTCATTGCAAACGATCTGGTAATAGAGTTTGAATCCAAGTTGGTACTAGAGTTTTGAAACATTAGAAACATTTCTATCCTATTAACACTTATCCGTGAACTTAAGACCAAAAACCACAAGCTCTTCAACGAATCGCCGACTATTCGATTGACCGCCCAAAATTTCGCACAGGTACCAAAAATGTACCACATGTGAACCAAAACATCATCAAAATTCGAGTTTAAAGCTAATTTCAAGATTTTTGGCTTTTTTGGAGTGCCAAACACCTTTACACTTTAAAAGTTGACCAAATCGCAAAAGTAAAATGTTTTCATTAGAGAATCGACCCAAATTTGCAATACTTCTTCAAGAAATTAACCAAGCTCTTGGTTTTTTCAAAAACCTAGTTTTCGAGTGTAGTGTATCGATTAGAAACACACTTTTTCACCTACCTATTTTTACCGATCCAGCACTTCAGAAAGTCAACTCCTCACCGAATCCTTGGATAATTGTTATCTATAGCGAATCAAGTGAATCATGCGAACGGTAAGAAATAAAGTTAAACTAATCAAATTAAAAAATAATCGCTTTAGCTATTCAAAAGTAGGATGGCCGAGGCTGGTCAAGGCTATTGGGAAGTGGGAAGACAAATTTTCGGCGATATTCGGAAAAAATCGGGTAATCGTGATAGACTTGAGAACCAAGTTTAAATTGTTGCGTTAGATGGGCGCAATCGAAGAAGGTGAGGGACTTTTTGCGACAAATGAGTACGATTTTCCGATCATCAAGATTTTCCCTCCGAACTCGAGTGGTCAGTTTGATATGATTATCAGTTTTTAAACTGTATTTGATTAGTTAATTAGTAAGACAAACACTAGCGCAGAAAAATGCTGTGTTTTTAACTTTTCCAAAGAAATTTTAAGATTGTATATTTAGGAGTACCGTTGAGCAAGAAAATCAACTGGTACAGCCCCGATGCAATGCTCGAGATTTTGTTGGCCATTCATAAAATCAGTAAAGAAGAGGTTAGACTCGTGAATTTACCATGGACCTACCAGATCTAGGTTTTGCCAAAAACATCGCAAGAATGGACCACGCGAGTCGACAAAATTTGGAACAATTGGCAAAAAGAGTTGGCTTTGGCCAATGAGGGAGGTTTGTATCAGTTTGGGCTTTTTAAATCTTGATGACTTTCGGTGTTGGAAGATAATTTATGTTTATTTTAAATTGATCTAGATACAGTTTAAATAATTTTCAGAAAAAGTCGTTCTGGAGACTTACACGCAAATCATCAGCACAGTCACAACTACAAGAGTCGAGAATCCTTTCCGTTTGTTGGTCGCCGTCATTGTTCTGTTCCTCCTTTGTTTGAAATGGATCGTGAAATGTGCTGACAAGGGTGTCCCTGAAGATAATGAGCATGGAGAACCGGAAACGAGTTTCCATAGAGCTCCTGAATACTCGTATGCTCATCCCCAGCCACAGGCACGGTCACAGGCAATTCCACTTCCTTTTCACTAAATGCTTTTATTGTAATCTCCAGTATCAAGTGCTTTTGTCAGCTTTCAACTCTATTTTCCACAAAATTCAACGAATTCTCTTTTGATAAATAAAATTTTCCACATTTTGTACAAGCAAAAGTCATCACAATCTGAAATTTGTAACTCTCACCTGTCCAAATTTTTGGAAAGAAGTTTTGCCTTGAATTTGTTTGTATTTTTGAACAATTTCAAGGAAATGCAAAAAGATCTGTTCTCTGAGGATCCTCGTTGATTCAGAAGTAGCCAAACGGAGAGAACAATGCGACTCAAGACTTACATAAAGCTATACTAATGGCATGAGTCCTTAAAGATACCGCTCAATGCTCAATCTTTGACATTTCTGTCCTCATGAATGTGACAGCAACGATTGATTCAAGCTAATTACAAAAACCTTGAAAAATAACTAGCTATTTACTTAAATAATCAGACTTATTTTAACATTTGCTTTCTTTATTTCCGAGTGGAAATGCAGGTGCAAATGCAGCTGGGAATGTCAACTGGAAAAGTGGAAAAATCCCAAAGTGGACTCCGACAAAAACTTTATTAAATCTATATTAAAATAAAAATCTATATTAAATTAAATAAAAATCTATATTAAATTGGGATGATGCTCGATGCGCCATCGTTTTATTTATGGTTTGAGTCCGCTGTGGCCATTGTGTCGACTCCATTGAATTTCTTGGCTTTGTTTTGCATTGTGAAGAAAACCCCGTCTGAAATGAATGACTATCGATCACATTTAGTCGTGTATCAAGTAACTTGGAGATTTTTATTTCTTATAAAAAATCATTAGATTCTAACGATGGCATTGGACTTTGTGATCAGCTCCATACGACCTGAGTTGAATTTTCCGGCCTTATCGGGCAGGATTTTTGGAATCTGGGATACCGTTTTTGAATTTGGAGCCCAGCAAGCTTTGGTAAGGACTACTTCAAGCCTAAACTAAATGCTTGCCAATCAATTTACTGAAACTCACAATATTATCCCATTTTCTAAAGATTTCAAACAATCTAAAACCCGGCAAAGAGTATTCAAAGTCACAGGTGTTAAATCCAATCTCAAAAACCAAGCACTAGATTGATGGGAAATGGACCTGATGATCCGACAAATTTCCAGGGTTGCGGTTCATTTCTCGTGGGTGCTGTTTCTTGTTCAATCAATCAGCTCTTTTTCTACAAATGGCAGAGTTTGCTAGCTGAGGATCATTTTCTCAAGTAAGCAACGCTTTATCTTAACTGAGTTTTCTCAGATTATCTAGTCGTGGTCGTTTGCTTTATCTTCTTTTAATATATGGAATTTTTCCCATGAACATTGCTCTGGGTTTTGAGTTAGCTAGTTATGAAAAGGGACCGACAAGTGAGAATATGCGGGAAATGTTACAGGTTGGTGCTTTTGAAAACGGGAGATTCAAACTTTGTTGTACCCAACCCAATCTTTTTGGGTACCAGATTCATCAACGATTCCTAAATGGATTGTGTAAATAGATTTAGTACAACAGGAGAACAGGAGCTACAGTAACGGACAGAACCATTGGTCTGGTTCTAGTCTAAAATATAGTGAGATGGAGTTACATTGCGGGAATGATATGAAATCAAATCTGGATCCTTTCAAATCTGGTATCGGATCTTGAAAAGTGGAAATTGAATTTGACGCGAAATGAGAAGTGCCTCGTTTTTGATGTATTTATGAAAATTGCATTGCTTTTCTTAAGGAACACCCATCTTACGCATATCTTGCGAACTATCCTGATATTTATGTCGCGAAAATGGGCCCCGTTTATCCACCGTATATCAATTTGAAAGCCATACATATTGTGCTGTTCATGATCTTTTTCACCGTAGTCATCATAACAACACTGGTTGGTTTCCTAGTTCAAAACAAACAAAAGATGATTTAGGATTTTTTTTACCTAATCTCATGCGATAAGATCATTGACAAATTTTCTCCACATATCAGTGAGAAAAATAGGAAGATACAGAAAAAGTTTTTCCGAGCACTTTGCATTCAGGTGGGTGAGGATGAAGTTCTTACTTTAAGCCACAATTAGAGCTGAATGGAAAAATCTAGAGTTACAATACTTGAGTTACAGTTAGCGATCCCGCTCAGCTCACACACGATTCCATGGGTATCTTACGGCATAATCATTTGCTTAGACACAGGATACATCAATCAACGTATTTTATGAAAAAGAATGATTTAATGAGAGATTTCCAGCGTTAAACAATTTCCTCTTTGCACTCGTCGGTGCCCACGGAACAGAATCGGCGATTGCTCTTTTCGTTGTCACTGAACCGTATCGGGATTATATTTTGGAGATTCTTGCGAAAGTACCAATAGTGGGACACTTTATTGTCCCTTTCAGAAAAAATCGGTCACTAAAAATCGTTCCATCAACGTCTGTTATTTGATGAAGGTTTATGATAGTTGGTTATTTATGAATTTCTAGTAATAAAGTGTGTTCTTCTTGCCTAAAGCATTCTCTAAAAGACACATAATTGCAAGTAATAGCGTAATCATGCCACCAGTTTTGATTAAGTTAATTTGATTTTGGTATCAATCGATGCATGGCTCGATCAATAATACCAAAATCAAATGAAACTAGCGGTTTTGTTACGGTAGCTTGCGTGCCTTTTAGTTTTTTTAGTTGTTCGGTTGTTCAAAAAAAGCTTCTGGACATTTTAAGTTTTATTAGTTGTAAGTTCTTCAAATTCTTTACAAAAGTTTGTGATTGGTAAGTTTATTTACAAAAGTAAGAACAGCACAAAGCAATGTAAAGCAAACTTGGGATATCTCTAAAGGTTATGAAAACTAACCACAAAGCTCAAAATGATAAGGTTACAAATGTGAACTTTACGTTATGAAATTTAAAAACTCAATTGAACCTTTTTAAAGTATAAAGAAATAGACTATTTCATAAAACAAGTTGAACTGAACTGCTTGCTTGCAAGTCATAGTTGAACTGAACTGCTTGCTATTTCACGAAGAGCTGTACTTCATCCATGAATTACCGAAAACCGTAGCAGCAAGAATTACAAAAAATCGCCTTGGATGAGTCGGCGCCGAAATTAAACTTCCCCCCAAAACCTTTTAAATAAACTGGCGGTTTGATTACAATGGTCACATTCTTTACAAAATGGCTTTTAGGATTCAAAGTTTTTCGTTTTGGTTTTATGGCCCAAACCCCCCCTTCCTTCCCCCCCACACCCCCCCCGTTAAGACTTTCGGAAGATCCCTCCCCTTGAGACAGTTTAAAGATTTTTGAAAAATTATCTCTGTTGAGGAGGCGCTGTTTTGTTCTCTTTAAATTTTTTTTTGTAGAAAAGTACCCCCCCCTTTCCCAAAGAAATCATAGACCCTCCCCTTTTTTTTTTTTTTTTAAAAAAAAAAAAATTCCTTCTGGGGAAAATTTTTTTTTTTAAAAAAAAAAATTTCACACACTCACTTATTTTAATGAGTTTAAATTCATCAAATTGCTTTATTTGGAAAAGTTCATTCTTGATGATGGTTACGATTTGGGAAAAATTGCTTTTGAGAACTTGAAAGCAAAAGTATTGACGATAGCTGGGTTCAACATTTGATGGAAAAATGAAAGAGTTGAGAAAATATTTGATTCAAGAAATGAAAAGTGATAAATTTCAAGAACGCAAGAGATTTTCTTGGATTTCTCTTTGGATTAATGTGGATCCAGAAGTTGAAAGCAATGCTTTGGATGTTGATGTCTTTGAAAAGAGTCTAGAAACATTTTTGCGTATCAACAAAGCTCGAAACTGGTTAAAAAGAGCGCGATAAGCAGACGACATTCAATTTTATTCAACCATTTGTTTCTTTTTGTTCTATCTCTTCAAATCATGAGCTTTTTTGTTGTTTCTGTTGTTAGACTATGCAATAAATTTTCTATTTTGTTTTATCAAGACAAGCAAAACTTTATTATCAAGGTTAAGATCATATCAGGGAATGTAGAAAAATGGGTTAATCAAAAAAAACTAGCATTTGGCATTTGCTAACACATTTTCATCAACAATTGCGTCTCCACGAATCGTTTCGGAAAAATCGGATGACTAAACAAACTGATGCAGAAAATCCATGTCCTATTTTCAAATTCCTTTTTGTAAAATCGTTGCCATTTCTCTTTAACTTCGGCATTTAGATATTTACATTTCGAGTACCATTCTTGATATTTTCCATCAAAATCCTGCACAAAATTCACAGGCAATAGTCCGGTAACTGGCCGTTGAAAAGCCAAAATTTTATTCTCATCCATTTTACAATTTTTCTCAAAGTATTCAGAGAATTCAAGAACTTCTGAAGAATTTTCATCGATTAAAAGCAAATCCGAATCATCAAGCATTTCTTCTAAAGTCTCTTTGATTCGACTTGGGCAAGGGTTGTTCAATCTCATGCTTGTTCTTGTGTCAATTTTCCCACGTAAACCCACAGCCAACACTTGGTTTTCTTGAAAGATTTGGCTCCTGACCATGAATCTCATAGCTTCTTCAATCTGTTCTAAACCTGTTAAATTCAAATGAATCACAATTTTAGGCTTTATTGCCATCAATTCATTCCAGTAAATCCCTTCCACTGCACTCCAGGAGATTTCCTTACAATTCTGAATCTTCAAACTTTTCTGATCTTCACTCAGAAAAGCTCTGATCTCATCCCGTTTTTTTCGCTGATTTCTAGCCAAAATCAATTGACAACGATCGAGAATTTGAGGCTGAAAATTGTCGAGAACGAATTTATCAACAATGTAACGACTCGTTTCCAACTCAAAGCTTGACAAAGTTTTGATAAGCGGTAGAAATTTTGTCTTAACAAAAAGCAATTCCGACATCAATTCGAAACATTGCTCTGATTTGATACCATACTGACAATATGCCTCAATTTGAATCGATTTGCACGAAGAAATTTGGTTTATTAGACCCCAAAAAGCTCTCCAATTAAGCGAATCGGGTTTGATTTGATTCCAAGAAGATTTCTCTAACCTTGTCGAGATTTCCAATTCGAATCCAATTTGAGTAAAATCCTCATCATTAACATCAAAATTGTCGTAACTCAAGGCAATTTTCTGAATCTTTTGCGGAAAAGTTTTATGCCGAATATAATATTGAAATTCTTTGTTTGATTGAGATAAATTTAGATAGGCAATAATCTCGACATTGTCAAGAATTAAACTTTTAAGTTCTTGCGGCAAAAATCGAATTGGAAATGGCATAAAAATAGGAAAAAAGTCTAAGAGTTTTTTCGAAAAAGCCTTTCATCAATCAATATTTGTTTTTCCTATCTCGAAATCTCCCCTTTTCGAGTGCCTTCTCTCTTTCTTTTGTCACTTTTCACAACTCTATGGGAATCGTGAAATCGTGAAAACTGAGATCACTTACTTACTTTTAATCTTATTTTAATCTCCATTAGATTTCAAAATGCAACATTTTCCCCTCACCACTCTTCCAGATGAGCTAAAAACGTCAATTTTGAGATCAGTATCTGCGAGTGTTTCACCGAAACTAATGAAAACTCAACGATCACATCGAAATTATTATTTACTAAATGGATTCTTCCCAACGAAGATCAAAACCCTTTTTTTCAATTTTTCTGGTGCCGGACATGGTGAAGTAAAGTTTGAATGTGATGAAAGCGAAATGATACTCCAAATCCCACTGAAAAATTTCTGAAACTCACAAAATCACTGAGAAATCAAGAACTTCTCGCTGGACTAATCCCAAAGAAAATCGACAAATTGGTTGTTCAGATTGATTTGGAAAACGATATTTTGAAGGTAGAATTGTTCAAAAACGATGACCATTTGATAATTTTCTTACAAGAAAAGCTTATCATTCGAATCGATGATCAAAAATTTGAACAATGTTATGATTTTAAGTTGATCGATACATCAATTCCATGTAGAACTTTAACTATTCTTCCCGTTTTCCTGTTACGATAATGTACGCTATTTGACAAGTATTTCAGAATTTCAGCTTGAACAGTTTTAATAACTTTATGGAATCAAAGTTTTGCATCAAGAATTACTTCAAACTTGGAAATAAATGGCTATTATATTTTGATCAAAAGAGGATTTGTTAACTTTGAATCAAAATCAGATTCTTGTTCAATTGTAATTCGGTGGAACGCTCACGAAATCCAGTCAATTTTTGACTACTTCAAAATCGAAACACCGAAAAACTGGCCGGTTGGATTGTCTTTCCTCAAAAATTTCACCATTTTTGGTTAAAGTAAATCCGAGAAAATGGGCTTATGCTGTAAAAATTTTTGGAGCCCGGCTGACCTCGGTGGCCGAGAATTGTTTTAAGTTTGAAAATGTCAATATGATTTTTTAAGATTGCTTTTGATCACTTACTGAGAAACGATCAAAAATTCCAAATTTTGCTAATCACCGAGTTTTTTGGTGAGAACTTTGCAATGAAACACCAAAGTATTGAAGTGAAGTTGATCTTTCAAACTGTTGTTCAAACTAATGTTGTTTTGCTAATAAAAATAAACTTTAAATGTTTTCAACACAATGAAAAATACGAACAGAAATTATGTCTTCGGCTCACAATGTCATTTGCTTACAAGTTTTGACTTTCAATTAGCAGTTTGGCCTTTTGTCCTCTGGAAAGTCTCTTGTTTCCCTACAATATATTAGATTAACATAGTAATTGGTAAATGTTAATTAAGCCTGTACAAATTATACTTGTAAAGCCGATCTAAAACTGGGTAGATAGCATTAATGGTTGCTGATGGCTGATCCAAGCTTCTGCAATATTTAACGAGAAACCTAACCACTGCAATGCGTTGTTCTCTGTTCTCTTTTCCATTGCTTTTCCCTTTCCTTCATCATCCATCTCTTCTTCCATATCTTTCTCCTCTCTCCCATTCACATCAACCATCATCCACCCGCAACGCTTCCCCCTTTTTCAACGTCGCGCGTCTCATTTGGATTCATGCCAACTGGTGATGCATTACTGTTAACATTTTTATCAACTTACATTTAGTATATTAAGAAAACTTTGAATATATCATGCTTTAAATCTTTTTAGATTCGTTTGTTTGTCGGATTGGACACTTGTCATCATCCATTTCCGTCTGAATTTAACCAAGAATAGGTCAAAATCATAGTTAGAGTCTAATTTTGACAAATTTTTCGACAATTAGCTTGACCAGCTTGTTTCTAATAAAAAATTACCTTTGAATTCAAGAATTACAAGGATTTATGTTCGTTAAGGTTTGATTGTCTAAAAGAGTAGTGGGAAACTAGCCGAGTTTGCCTTGGACCACCACTAAAAGTTGGATTGATCTCCTCCAAAAGTCAAAAACCCAAATCGTTGTGAGATTCTTCTCCTTCTCTTCCTTTGCCTTTCTCCTGATCTTTCCCCTCATTCCATTCAGTCTCCTTCCCATTTCCCCCTCTTTTCCTCCTCCCGATTGGCCCCCGCAACGAGTGTAACACCTGTGCCACCAAGACGCTCTGCCACCCAAAACTGCGTCTCCTTCTTCTTCTTTTCCTCTTTCTCAAATTTTTGCACAAAACTCCTCTTGTTTGTATCTATTTATGATATAGTTTCTAGTTATTGTTGAGGTTTACAAATTTTGAAATGTGATGATTGTGGATGGCTTTTAAAGCGACAACAATCGGATTTCATTGGTTACATTTTTTAAAGAACTGGCAAGCTATTCACTTAATTTTATTTGGTTTTATAAAAAATTGTTACTAAAGATTTGAATGATTTAGTTTAATTAGAAAAAAACTAAAAACCGCTGTTTTTATTTTGGTAACAACCTTGTTGTTTTTGTTGTTTTAAACAACAAAAACAAAAACTTGTTTAACCGTTTGTAAGATTTGAAAGTTTATTTGGAACTGGTTTGGATTTGAACAGGCCATTCTTACTAATTTTTTCAAAGGATCTTTCTCTTTCGAAAGCAATACTGACTTCAAAGCATTTCCCAAAACCGTTGAACATCGATTGTAAACAGTTTACGATGATGTTATTTCTAAACATTCGAAAGCGGGTCATTTGTTCTTTTCCCCATTCCATTCTTTTCCTTTTCTTCTCGATCAGTTGTATTCACTCGCTCTAATGCAAATGAGAGAGGTAAGATGAGGAAAAGGAAAAGGAAAGCAGAAGGATTTGTTTGAGAACCTGTGACCCCCTTTGAGCACCCACTCCCATATTTGGACGTCTTAATCCGTTTGGATCTCGTATGTCTTGTTAAAACATAAGATCTGATTGCTTATCGATTTTAAAGATATTGAAAAGTAAATCTTTGATGAACTTACAGTATGCAGTCAGTTTTGTGATTCCTTACAGGACTCCTAATAGTCTTGAATACTTTGCTTGTGATTTGTTTTACCAGAATGTTTCAGAAGCAATTTCTTCGGGCCTTGCTCTGGCGTTACTTTGGCCCGGTAAGGCCAAGTCAAGACTTTGGATTGACCTGACTTCCCAGCCAGGCAAAGTCAAGGTCGGACTCACGGTCAGCCCTAGACTGAATTAGGTTCTAGGGCCTAGTTGGAACTTCCCTGTTCTCTACTTAATGAAAAAGAAACTGAGACTTACAATACATATCTTTAACCAGACAGTGCCTTTGTCATTGCTAAATAACTTATTGGTTTTGTAGATTTTGGTTAGAAAGATCCCATTATTAGGGCAGAAAGAAGTATAAGAAAATTGCTCGAAAATTTCCCTGTAGCTTTTCTCTGCTTATTATCTTCTTTTCTGAGTAACAACTCCGAATTAGCTACCAACAAATTCTAGAAGTGTGCCTGGTGGTGGGGGAGGGGCAGGGGACAATCAAAAAGACATTTGAATCGGTTGTATACCCTGGTAAAAGAGAAGAAATAGAGCCTCAAGGGAGAAATTGGCTTGCATTCACTCGTTTCCCTTCCTCAATTCCCCCAAATATCCCCAGTGCCTGATTGGAAGGGAGAAAACGGCAAAGAAATCGAGAAAGAGAAAGAGAGGCGACGATGATCTTTGACGGTGTAATGGTCGGTGAATGACCAAGAGATTTTTGCATTCTTTGCCTTCTTTTTGCTTTGATAAATATTGATAGAAATGTTTGGTTTGGGTTAAAAATAGTTTGGCCAAAAGGTCAGTAAAGTTTTTGGTTTTGCTATTGTTATAAATCTAAGGCTAAAGTTCAAAAGTTGCTATTTTTATCTACCTTGCTCATTTGTTTAACTCTAATAATCAGCTCTCATTCATTTTTCGGGTTTCAAGACAGATTTGTTTAAATTCCAAGCGCTTAAACTTTTCTAAACTTTATTTTCAACTATTCTTTTCGATCTCCTCTTGAATTGAATAGTAAATTGCACTTTATTTATTTATTTTTCTATTCATTTCTTATTTCCAACTAATCTAGTACATATCAAAACTAGGCCTTTCTTTTCTTTTTCCCTTCTACCATTTGAGTCATGCATTTGCCAGTCAAAGCATCTCGCATGCGACGAGCGCCCGAAAAAGGGAATAACGAGAAAAGGGCTGAATTTAAAATGTCATGTCGCCCAATTATTTTTGAGAGTTTATCGATTGTTAAAAAGGACTAGCTAGTTATATTTTTAGCCTTGTTAGAATACAAGTTTTGATTTCACAACAAAAATCAGTGCCAACTTTGAAACTCGTTTTACGGAAAACTAACTTTCCTTACATTTTTTCTAATTGATTCCCCATGATAGGGTTTTTTAAAAAACTCTGTTTTATTGAATGATAACTTTAAATAATTTTTTATTATCTAGATGGCGCCCGGGGCGTTGGACAGCTCGGCGGTGAATGGGAATAACGGTGATATCGCTCAGTTGGCTCATGGATTCGAGAATTTGTTTTGCAATAGGTCAATTGAAAATTTCAATAATGAATATTTTTAAGATTAAGCTTATTAGAAAATAAATCACAAGGCAAACAGTAAGATTAATATCTCAGAAAACCATTTGTTTTTAGATGCAGCGAAGGCTTTGGTGTCAACGATCAAGTGGTGAACTCGTCCGGTCAAGTCTGGCACAGTGATTGCTTTGTGTAAGTAACACTCATAAGATAACTAAACTTATTTTCAATGTCACAATTCAAATTTCAGGTGTGCTCAATGTTTCCAACCGTTTCCTGATGGAATTTATTTCGAATTTGAGGGTAGAAAGTATTGCGAACACGATTTTCACGTACTTTACGCCCCCTGCTGTGGAAAGTGCAGTGAGTTATTGTTAAACGGAAAAGTATTGAATCAAAAGACTTATCTTAACAATTTCTCAAGCTAAACAATAAATATAATATTTTAAAATTCTCAATTGATAAACTAAAATGAAACTGATTAGGAGTTGAGAATTGTCATCGATTGATGAATCGTTGATCGTTGTAAAGCACTAAACAAGCTCTTTCTAATATGATTTGCATACTGGAAGATAAATTTTAACTTTTCAAAAAGCAATTGCCAATAACTTTCAGACGAATTCATTGTGGGTAGAGTGATCAAAGCGATGAATGCCTCATGGCATCCCGAATGTTTCCGTTGTGAACTTTGCGATAAAATGTTGGCTGATATCGGATTTTTAAGAAACGCTGGAAGGTATAAACTAGAAATTTCTTTTGTAAAAATAGAAATTTAGAACTAAACGTTCGGTTGGGCTTAGAAATTCTTGTAAAAATTGTAAGCAAAGCAAATCTTTTCCAGAGCTTTATGTCGAGAGTGCAATGAAAGAGAGAAAGCGGCCGGAGCTGGGCGATATGTTTGTCACAAGTGGGTTTAAAAGTTTCAATTTTTATAATATAATATCAAAAGTAACGTAAAATTGAAATTTTAGATGCCACGCAATGATTGAAGATGGACAACACATCAAGTTCCGTGGCGACACTTATCATCCATATCATTTCAAATGTAAACGCTGCAAGTTAGTTGTTTTAGGATTTTTTCAAGAATTAGTCGTATTGTTTAAATTTCTTTTAGTATTGAACTGACAACGGATTCACGAGAAGTCGGCGGTGAATTGTACTGTCTTCGGTGTCACGATACAATGGGAATTCCTATTTGTGGAGCTTGTCATCGACCGGTTGAAGAAAGAGTGGTTACAGCACTCGGAAAACATTGGCATGTTGAAGTAAGTTTTTGAGAAAAGGTCAAAATAAATGATTAACGTTAACATAGACAAGTAATTAGAGTTAACATAAAATTAGATTAACGTTAACATAAAATTAGAGTTTAAAATCCATTGTGAATCAAATAATTAGGTTTCTGTTTGAAAGTCTAAAAAAAGTGTATTGTTTACAAGTTACAAAACTAGTAATTAAGAATTTTCTTTAGCACTTTGTTTGCTCGGTTTGCGAGAAACCTTTCCTCGGTCATCGACATTACGAACGACGGGGCCTTGCCTTTTGTGAAGCACATTATCATAAGGTTTGTTAGAAAATAGAATCTCTAATAAGTTTATCACAAAGTTTGTTAGAACATAGAAATCTCTAATAAACTATTTCTTTTAGCAATTTGGCAACATTTGTTTCAAATGCGGTGATCCTTGTGGTGGTGAGGTGTTCCAGGTGAGTAGAATTTGTATTTTCAAAAGTTTGTTACAAATATTTATACAGATAGCTCAACTTTAAAGTTATATTGAACCAAATTGTTAAATTTAAACTACGAACAAATCTAAAGCTAGCTTATAACCCCTTTATAACTAGATCAAGAACCCCTTTCCCTATCCCTTGAAATTCTTGTCCTTTCATAACCTCCTTTTCTATTGCTGCATACCAAAGCCAGTTAGGCGACTGTTTAACAGCTCATGAGACGCGTTTCAACAAAGAAAAAAAAAGCTTTGTCTGGTCTTCACTTCTATTCAACTGCATCACTTCTTATATTTCTTTTTGCAATGGTCTTTTTCGAAGAAGAAAGGGCCACCGGTGCGTGTTGGGGTAAAAAACACAATGGAGAAGAGAGGGAAAGATTGGGGAGAGAGAATCATTCCCATCTGATGACCCATTGCAATTGGATATGATCGCAACATTTGTTGCGAAAAGTTTGGAGATCAAGATGACGTAGTTGAAATGAAACTTTACTAGAGTCTAGTGATTGATTAGCAGACTTGGCCAAAAACAAGGCTATACTTTCATTTCTAGGCTCTTCAAAAATGCTGGTGCATCAAGTGCTTCGGGTGCTCGTTCTGCGACAAGAAAATGGATCAAAAGTGAGTAGAAGTACTGAACGAACTCTACAAAAACAACAATCAAAACCCAATAATCTTATTTCAGGACCAAATTCTATGAATTCGATATGAAGCCAGCCTGTAAACGGTGTTACGATCGTTTCCCAGTTGAGTTGAAGAAACGAATTTCTGAGTCATTGAAGGATCGAGATGCCGAAGAGTCAAGGTAAAGAGTCAATTTCAAATTTCTAAATTGCAAATAGATTATAAAAAGGAATTAGAAGCATTTACTAGATTACACTAGACTACGAAACAATCCAGAAAACGATTGAGTACCGATTTAGTTTTTATTATTAAAACCCTCACTTTCAGGCGACGCTCGATGAGTCCAGGGACTAAAAACGCCGTTTAACTTCATTATTTTCCTATTTTCTGTAAATTTCTCTTTCTTAATCATTCTTATAAATTTATTTCAATATCTAATTATCAACTTTAAAAGTTTCTTTGTTCCAATCAATCCCCAACCAAACAACCCACACTGCCAATGAGAGAGAGCATAATTTTTCCACAAATTTCTGTACAATATCTTAGCATAATCTATTTTTCATCAAAAAAATCCTTCATAATCCATTTTTTTTCTTCACCAATCTAAGCCATATAATTCGGGTGTTTCTAGCATATTTTGTCGCAATTTCAGCTAAAAAATAATACTTAATAAAAAACGATTTTTGCATTGAAGTTTGTCTGTTTTTTTTCGATGGAAATTTCGCGCGCCTCAAGTTGCCTTTCCCATTCAGTGCTATTTACATTTTTTGATTTACAAATTGCCTTAATTTTTTTTTTTAAAAATACTTGAATAAATTTATTTGCTCGAACACAAAGAAAAACTCATCAACACACAACGACCCATAAATTCAAGGAATTCAAGAAATTTTTTTGGGAAACAAAACGAAGAACTGAGGATAAGTTAACGCTTAATGGATTTCATGTCAATGTTGGAAAAACGTCAGTAAGTGTACAATGGAAAACTCACTGTCTTAACATTGAAAGAAAGAAGTTAAGTCAGAAAAGCTATTGACGTGTTTCTAACTTTGACATTTCACCCATCCAACAATTAAACTTATTGCAAAAATCGAAGTTTCTTCTTGTTACAGCAACGATTCGTGGCACAGCGCACGAAGCCAGCCGGACAAGGGCATGGCAGAGATTGACAAGTGACACGGATAATGATAGCATTTGAGGGGAAAGTCTCGGATGAGGTAATAGAATTGCAAGATGGAGAATTGCAGGGGGGATTTTGAGGGGCATAAGTGATCGGGGCATAGGTACTAGGAGGAAGTGGCGGAGCCGTTTGGTAAGTCTCCGGGGGTGGAGTGGGCAAATCAGTCACTTGAATGCACTGTGGTTGACACATTGGCATACATTGTGGAACACATTGTGGTTGAGTTGGGGCATAGGTGGTCGGATAGGTGGTCGGATTGGTGCATTGGGGTTGGCATTGGGGCATACAAGAGGGAACACATTGAGTGGGAGCCTGTGTGAATTGAATGCACTGAGGTTGGCATTGGGGCATACATTGGGGGATACATTGTTGAGTGGTTGGGGTTTCATAGGGGATGGTTACAGTAATCGGGAAAGTGGTAGTGGTTGTTGTTGTTGTGGTGGTGGTAGTGGTGGTTGTAAAAGTAGTGGTAGTGGTTGTAGTGGTTGTGGTAGTAGTCTGAGTGGTTGGTGCGTAAGTTGGTGCAACGGTGGGTGCTGTGGGTGCTGGAGTGGTGGTGGACTCTGTGCAAGCCGGGAGACAAGCCGGCTGACAGAGTGGAAGGCAGGTGGGTGCATAGACGACTGGTGTAGGTGGTGGAGGTGCAACGGGCACAAAGTATTGGCCAGGCAATTGATAAGGAACCTGTGATAGAAATGGTTGCATGAAAGGAGAATAAATCCTAGTCATAAGTTGTTGAAGTACCTGAGCAGCTACGGGAGACAAAGGAACGGCTGATTGTGGAAGAATTGTTTGAATGGGAGCTGGAGAGGCTGGAAGAGGAACGGCTGGAACTGGAGCTGCAATCGGTGCTGACGCTACAACTCCAGTTACAGCAATTTCCTGAAATTTAAAAGGATTAAGAAACGATTCAGTTTCTTAAACCTGTGCTCGTAGACAAGTGGGCAAGCAAGAGGGCATACACGTGTCCATACAACTCAATCTTCCAACTACAGAGGCACTCGGATACGCACCGGGATACGCACCGGGATACGCACCGGGATAAGCCATTGGATATGAAGGCCGCAAGTACAACGGATATTCTTGCTGAAAATTGGTTTTTGTAAACATTTTTGGCTTTCATTTACAGAAATAACAGCTCCGACTAGGAGATAGAAAGCGGACCACCGGAGGACCATCTTGGAGGGGTTGGCTAAATATTGGCTTTTGAGCATGAACAAGAGTTTAAGTTAAGTAAAATGTTAGAAAACCCAAAGATAAATTCAAAACCTTGAATCTAGTTTAAGAATTTAGTCAAATTATCAAGCAATAGATTTAAATTCAGAAACCGTAAGAAAACGAATGAGTTACGGGAGCTTGAAAGTTTGAAAAAAGACTAATCAGAGTAGGAGTTTAGAAATTCTATGAGAAAATGAAGTAGAAAGAGTTAAAAATTCGGTTCTTGTCTTACTACAGTATACCAAGTTTACAGTATAGCCGATAAAGTTGATAATCTACTGTGAATCTTTGATGCTGATACTGTGGTTACTGTAAAAAGGCAAGAGCTTACAACTTTTCAGTATCTTTAGGAAGATAGATGACTGATTATGTTGCAAAGTCCTAGTTCCGTGGCAGATTGAAAGGGCGCCGGAATTTGAGTTGAGTGAAGGGGAATGAATGTGACAAGAAGCACTCAATTGGGCCGGCGAGATAGATGTGTGGCTTCTTCACGGCTTTTCAACCATTCAACGTAAAAAGGCGGCGCGCATGCGCACACGTTTTATACTGAGACCCGGTGATGAGAAGGGAAAAGAGGGCACAGAGATACCGATGATCGAGAGAAATGCCCACTGTCAACACTCTCTTCATTAGGAGATATCGATAACTAGATCCACTTCCCGGTCTCTTTTCGGTTTAAGCTAAATTTCTTTGACCATTCTCTTCAGACTTCAATGGAAGCGTCACCTATGGAAGCGTTTGTTGAGTGGTTTGCGGTCAAAGGGCCTCTCTAGAGATTGCCACACTCGAGATGGGCCACTCATTGGCAGATTATTCAAATCGTCACGTCTGATTGAGATCAGGGATCAAACTTTTGCATAGATTTTTCAAAGTCTTCATCCTTTGAAAATTTCCTGGAAATTTAAAAGGGTACAAGCCATTTATTCATTCAATACATTATCTAAACTTTTAGATATTTCTCCTTTTCATTTAATCTCATTCAATTAACGATGTAATTTCTAATCGAAGATCAGAATTAAGTCAACCAGACAAATTCTGAAGGAAAGACGGTAGCCGTTAAAAATTATTTGTTCTAGAAAACTCTTTACTCACAAGGAACACTACTTACAACTAGATTACAAGCTTGTTTAACACTGACAATATTAGATTTAATCACAAAATTAAGATTGGATTCTTTATCAATAAATATCAATAAAAAAATAAAATCTCCGTTACACTTTTGTTGAACCTGGAGGAAATGACCCTCAACACCAGAAACTACACCAAAATACAAAACTTTTTTGTTTTGGCACCTTTGGCTCGGCCATTTCTCTAAAATCGTGCTCTTAGAAATTCTAACAAGTCATAATCGAAGGCCTCCCCGCGGCGCGAGCAGTTATTAGCTCGCCCGCCTCGAAGGCTAATGACAGAACGGCATGGCCAAGTGGTTAGCGGACTTATCTCTAAAGCCGCCACGAGTGTGAAGACTAGGGGTCGACTCTTGGGAGACTCTTCGCTCACGTTTTCAAATTTTGTTTTCATGGAAACACACCAACGTTGGACTGCGTAGAAGGCGTTGGGTGATAAACCAACGTTCAGCCGCTGATAAGTGAGGTGGCTCTCATCGGCTTGTGATAACATAAAAATCGACCACCTAGTGAATTCGGACCCACCTTTTAGGATACAAAGAAGTCCACTTTCTGAACTGTTTATCTTAAAGTAACTGGATTACTGGATTACACTCAAAAAAGATGTTGGACACGGCTCTCTATTCAATTTGATCTCAAACTTGATCACAAGCTTACCACGGTCTTACTATCTCTCGCTGAGTGGTTCATTCACCAGTTTTTCAGGAAGCAAGAAGTAGTAGAAGAACTAGTGTCAATCAGGGCTCTCTCTTGTCTTTTCTTTTCTTTGCCTACAAAAACCTGTGTCAATCCACCCCTAACCTTTCATAAAAAAAGACTTTCTTGTGTGTGCAAGGTGTCACAAAAAGGTCACCTTATTGAGTCGAAAAGTCGACAATGATCTCCTTGCGTCTATATTATAAAATCAAACATTGGATACTTGTTTCGGCGTTGTCAACTTGACTTTCTTCTCACTTTCATAGGTCAAACACCCGGATTTGTTGGGTGCCAAGAATTGTTGAGTCTTTGCGTGCAAATAAGGAAACTGGAACTGGAATATGGAATTTTGGAGACAAGTTTCTTATGAATTAGGAGGAAGCGATGACTGAGGAGGGTTAAAGTTGAAAGGCTTGAAAGTTTTATATGGTACAATCGAACACTATTAGGTTTTTCATTGTTTAACTTTTAAATGGCGACAAGTTTTGACTATTAGAAGTCATAATTCCAACAGAATTTGAAGGTTATACAATTTTTGCTTATCGGGAAACGCATTCAATCGTTCAGACCACTTTCGAACGCAAAAATATTCATGAATCTTCTTAGTTTTGTTACTTTTGTGTTATACCATGAATTTCTTTGTAAACTTTAGTTTTAGATCTTCTGATGTACTGTCATGTGATGTACTGTTATAGTTAATCTCTAATCTCGTTGTCAGTTCTATCATTTTACCGTATTTTCATTTCAACTATTCCACCATGTATTTATTTGAATATTTATTTAAATTCACTTGATCATCATCAATTTTATATTTACAATTTTCAGAAAAAAGAAAGAAATATTTCAAGAAGACAAATCGGTGTTTTTTTTTGCATCGTTGTGACAAAAATCGTCTCAAAATTTGAACCACACAAAAAGAATCATAAAATTAGCGAAAAATGGAAACGAAAAAAGACTAATTTGCGAGAATCAAATTTTTCTAACACTAATCAGACTAATTTGAATAAAAATCGTAAATTTTATCGGGACATTTCTTTCAAAAAAAATGGCACTGGTAAAATTTGGGCAAAGGCTGGGCGGGGAAACGAAATTTTCTATGAAAAGTTTTTGAAAATCGAATTTTTTTTACTTAAAAACACTACTCAGCCAATAGAATCTCAATAGGGTGAGAATAAAAATTTGAAACAAATATGATTTTTGGAAGAATCAGCGAGAAAATGATGCATATCCATATCAACAGACAGAGATGGGGAGGGAATCGAAGAGATGGAGTTCAAAATTGAGAATTTTATGGAAACATCAAAGTTTTAGAAAAGTTTCTTAGTTTTTTTTTGGATCTAATGGTCCTTTGAGAGTTGAGTCTGGAGAGGGAAACCACCTTGAAGGACATTGTATGGATATCCATATTGCTCCAAACCGCTTGCCGTTGCTGAAGCGGAAGAATCATACACTAATAAAGATTACTTTTTTAAAGGTTATGGCTACTTTGCGGTTTTTGATTGCTTGTAGTCAGTCAAATTTCGACAGGATTAGTTTTTAGGTCATTTTGATTGAAATCGTTTTCTAATAAGTGCTAGAAAATAACTTTTAGAAAATGCTTTGTCTATCGGAATATAGCTTGTTTAACTCGTCAGCAGAGGGTTTTCATTTTAACAAAATTTAGCAATAGCTCTAAAGGTTCAACTGACTGACTTTGCAAAAGCTTTACCAACTTTTAAATTGAACTCTAGTTGGGGACTAGTTCACGATTACTTTTAAACCAACTAACTTCCTCCAGATCCAACACCAGCCATAGCACTTTGTTGCCCCATTGCAGCGGCCAAAGCTGCGTAATCGACCAATCCTTGTTGAGCGGCAGCTGCCTGTTGCAATTGAGCCGCGTTGAGCAGAGCTGGATTCAAGAGCGCCGTCTGTGGATAGAACATCGCTTGGGGAATCCTGGAAATTGAGAATATTTATCTTTTTTTCACTTTCCCGTTTCCCCACTAGATCACCACGATCAAAAGGTGAACAGCCTGGTTGTGTGTGCTTTTTGATTAGCTTTTTTTTGGGGAGTCATTCTGAAGCCACTTCAAATCTTCTCACACAGATGGGTTAGATGTTCATTCAACAAAAAGAGGACATGCTTTAATAGAAAAGTGCCACACTACCGGCAAAGTTGGGAAGGATTTTGTGAACATTAATTAAGATTTATATGCTATTTATTTCAAGTCATGACTATAAGATCAGTTTCGTATTATAACAAAAATAAAACCCGAGAAAAGATTGGTAGACTCAACAATCGCTCTAATAGCTCTTATCGATTCCCCGGAAAACCCCGAGTACAAATTTACAGCTGAATATCTTCTTTTTATAATATCTACAAAGCAAAAGGAAAGTTTGTCGTTTTGGCCGTCACTATGCCCAAATTCCTGGGATTAATTCCCAAATTTGGCTGTATTTTTGCTAGAAATTCCACATCCCTCCAAACCAAAACTAACTAAAATACTCAAAGTTGAAACGGCTCGCTAAAGTAACTTATAAACTACTGCTTCCAAGGGAGAATTTATAAGTTTAGTGTCTGCTGGGTACTGCATGGTCTTAGGCTCCTAGTCAACTAGAGTATGCCATAATGAAAAGAACTCAAACAGAAAGACTGAATATCTTTAATATAACTTTAAAGTATTCAAACTTGCTAGCTAAACACTTCTATTCTGAAACACTGTACTTTATCTTTCAAATTAGAGATTCAAAAGTTTAAGTAGGCAGATTTTTGCCCCTATTCTAGTAGATTTCGGTACACTTATCCATTAGATTGCTTACTATTATGCAGAAATGTTTCCTTATTAAAACTTTAATCGAATATTTTGATTAAGTTTTGACAGCTCTAATCTCAATTTGTTCACAAAATCCCCGAGTGCACACACCATACCAAGAAAGAGAAAAAACAAAAATGAGTGTCGGTGAATGTGAGAGAAGGGATAGCTTTTCTTTAGAAACACTCAAAAACATGCGCAAGCATTGACTCTAAAACGTACTGTTGCCTTATTGGGATGGCATACGGGGCGATTCGGTAGAGTGTCCTCTCCCTCTGCATCGCTCCACCCGCAGCTTGTGTCTGCCCGGTCTGCCCAGCTTGCTCTTTCGCTGCTGCTTGCATCTTCGCAACCACTTCGGCTTGTTGCTGTGCCATCACCGAGCCGGCCATATTCAGTCCATCTCTTCAAAAAAACAAAACCCATCACGCTCACGTTTTGTAATTTATTTGAGAAAACAAATGATTTTCTTTGTAAGAAAAGCATTTCTTTGCTTTATTTCTACCCATGCTCTGAGCAACGGAGCGTGCTTTCTTTTTGAGCGCTTATGAATCGGTGTTTCTTTCAAACAAAGCGTTGCCTAAGACGTCTCAACTTTCGAGAACTACCGAATCTGCCTACAGTTTCCAATCTTTTGTGAATCACAGAGCTGAGCCAAGGCAAATGGGACAAACCAAGCTTACGGTAGCTCTCAAAAGTTAACACGTTTTAGAAAACACATCATTTGAGAGAAACACCAGTTTTGATTGAATCTTCTATTTTTACATAGTCTGCTGGGTTGAAATGCTCAGGATCATCATTAAGCTCATTAAGAGAAATTCTTCAACTAAATCAATCCAAAGTTTTATGCTAAAAGCCAACTTCTAAATCTCTAACATTCAAAGCTTTGATTGAGCTTAAGAATCATTGTCGTTTAGTTGATTCTAATGAATTGAAAAGTGACTGATCCAGAGCACTTCTCATAACAATACCGATAAGATCAAAAAACATGTATTACTCGTGCTTTCTTTCAATCAAAATTAACAAACAATCATTTTCGAGGACTTTCCCCTTTTCAATCGCTCTCTAAAAAGAATCTCCATACAAAAATCGAATCAAAAAAAGAAAAAGAGGCGAAAAAACGGTCATTCTGTTCACTCAAATTCAAATTGTTATTGGCTAGCCGATCAAAAAAAAGATGAGGAATTCATCGAGCCGGTTTGAGTGTGCAAAAATCTTCTCTTTTATTAGTTTTTGAATCTCTTCAGTCAAACGGCATTTCTTATTTGACCCCCACTACACACATGCAATCATTGGCTAGACTAGACCCCGCTCTATGCAAATTTCTTTGAGAGCTTAACTTGGCACGGCACACATCTTAGTCTAGCTTTAGAGAAATTTATGAAAATCATTATTTCTAACTCTCTAACTTATTAGAACGTTTTCCTCACGAGGAATGCCTTTTCTAGGAAAACTATCATAACCTAATCTGGATGAGGACAGTAGTCTTTCAAATTACCCATTTTTAGAAGTCTTTTTTGAAATCATTGTCTCCTATTTACCAACTGGCTTCAATTTTGTATTGGAGTCAAAATGTTTTCAGTTTGCATTCCTTAGTAAAAAACTAAAAACCCTACTCACACTAAACCTTTTTGGAGATTGTTTAAAGAAACTCAAAACCCGAATGAATACTACTAGCTAATTGAACTCTCAAACGGTAAAATCGTTGAGAACACCGGGTAACTGAAATTGATCCTATTTAGCTACACTACTGGACAATGAAATATCATAGTTGAAAAAAGATCGTCACTTTTGCGCGTCTGTAACTCCCTTGTCTTTACCGTATTTCTAAATATTAATATTACCATTGTGTAGCCCTTGAAAAGAGCTTTCAGAAAATGTATAACACTAATAGTTTAAACTCAAAGACAAGGGAGTTACAGACGCGTGAAAGTGACGATCGTTTTTCAGATATGATATTTCATTGTCCAGTACTGTATATTTAGCTTAATCCTTGAAATTCTAGTTTCTAATCGGAAATTTCTATGTAATGAATACAGAAGTGTTAATTTTATGCAATGCAATAACTTTACTGCAAAATTTCTTCTAAAGACTAGAGAATTTTAGATAGTTTTCAGTTATCCGATGTTTCAATATTTCACAACTTGCCCTTAAAACCATGATAAATTTTTTAAAACAAAAGAAAAAATTCTTGAGTACGAACCCGAGTCGAGCTCCTGGGAGAAGTGAGGAGAGCTGTGCTTGTAGATGAGCCGCCTGCAGTCCCGGTGTCAATTGAGCCAATCCCGGTTGAGTCAAAGCTGAAATCAAAACACCCCATCACACGCCATGCCCACACCGCACCAGAATTTTTTTTTTCTTCTCCAGAATTTCAACTATCTCTCGTCAAATCAAATGAAAATTCTTAATCAAACTATAGCTGTGAAAATCGTTAGCAAGCCAAAAAAATTCAGTCGTTTCCGCTCTTCAAAAAAAATTTCAAGGGTTGGTGTGTCAAGGCACGCGATGGACAGAGTTTTGACACACTTTGTCGAGAATTTTTTAGGGGCTTTCCTCAAAAATTCTCCACACAGTCAGTAAGTTGAAAATTTTACTTCAAAAGAAAATCAAAAAATTCGATCACAGCACTAATCTCGACAAGGTGCTCCCAAAAAAGTTAATGGAAATGACGGTACCTGCTAGAGCAATGTTTCCTCGGGGTTTGGCTCCAAGATAGGCGAGATTCACATTGGCTTTGCGGCCATCGATGATCGGATTTGGATCCTTGCAGGCACGTTCGGCTGAGGGACGATCCTGCAAAGATACTTTCAATTCATCTCTTTCAGCACGAACTCTACAAAATTATGAAGTTGTTAAGCTAGATAATTTTTTTTGTTAGAAAGAGTCTGTTGCCTAGCCAAAGCCACTTCTCCTATTCCAATCCGCAACCCACTTTCATTGTCACAAATCCATATCCTCGACTCTTCTGTGTTTGTCTATCAGTGATCACCACGGCTTCCTCGATCTCACCGAACTGCTCAAAATAGTCGTGAAGAGTTTTGTCACTTGTGTGATATGGCAATCCACCGACGAAAATCTTGGTCATTGTGGTGTCTTTAGAACCAGAACCTGAATCGGAAACAATTTCTTAAATTGTTAAAACTTTTTCCAAAAAATTGGATATAACAGTATTTTTTGAAGGTTTATTGATAAAGTTCTCTCACCAATGATTTCGTTATTGGCGGCTGATGAGGCGAGTGCAGCAGCAGCTGCTTGAACGATTGGATCGGCGCCGCCGAGTTGGCTGTACATTGAGGCCGGCAACATTTTGATCGACTAGGCACTGAAAAAAAATCGATTAGATAGCTGGGTACTAAATGAAATTGCCGTTTTTTATTGCTAATTCTCACTTATCCTATGAATTCGTATTTCAAGGCGATTAATTGAAGAAATACGTTTTTGTGTTCAAGTTTTGAGAGTCAGCAATTTCAACAATTTCCCTAACTTTCCTGTACATTACTGGATATTCGTATTTTTTAAAAAACCCACCTAATAAACGGATGACGAAGTAGTGAAAGCGAAGACACGCAGGGAAAATGGAGAGAAGAGAAGCACACACGAGGAAGAGATTGATGAGATTGATGGAAGATGTGGAGGATGAAAGACACGGCAACACACGGCACACCAGATGAGACTAGAAAGGAAGGGATGTGAGCCGCCCTGGGAAATCGGCTTTCGATCTGAAATTTGATTTGATGAAATATTTGAAAAGAACACATTGAGAAATGAAAGTTTTTAGAAAAAGAGGCTGTGCCGTTTATGACCAACAATTGCCATTAGGCACCAGATGGGAAATCTTTGAGAAGGAGAAAAGAAATGAGTTCAATTAATGGATGTGATTGCCAAGAGGGAAATTTTTTTGTTAAATGGTAAGCGATAAAATTAAGCAATGGTACAATGGAAAGAGATTTGAAGAGAATTCAATTTTAAAGATGGTTTTGAACAAGGATAGAAAAAAAGATTACCTCAATTCTCAAAAGAAACCAGCTTTGAAAAGTTATCAATGTTTAAATTGCAAAAATTATTCATACAAGGATTCAACACCAAATCCCAGCTCTTAAAACAATAATTTGATAGTTAATTGCGGTGAATGAGAGTGGTGCATGTTTATGGAGGGCTTCTTGCGCAACGGCGGGGAGTGGGTGCGCGAGCACATATTGCAGAGTCAACAAATGAGTGGAAGGTGGAAAGGAAGGCTTGCCGGGGAACCGGGGAAAAAAAGAGGCACAGAAATGACTGCGGGAAAGTGGGGTGGGGCAGAGAGGAGGGAAAGAAGTGAGGAAGAGTGGGTCCTGTCGAGAATTCGAAGAGACTGCCAGGACTTCTCTCGCAAAAACAAAGCGATGGCATTTCCTTGGAAGAGACGGTCCACGTCTTCACGCCCCAATCCGTGGTACTTCCGTGTGTGTGTCTGCCAACACTCAAGCAGATGACTGGTTCCTTGGGGAGGGTTGAAGACGGGAAATCGATTGGATTTGGCGACAGATTTGGTACAATTACAATTACAATTGATTGATGTTTAGGCAAGTATTTTAATTTTATCGAAAAAGAGATGAACTTGGTTAGAAGCATCAGTAAACCTAGAGATGAATTGGTAAAAGAAAGCATTCTTCAGCATTGACAGAACTCTAGAGCTTCAGAACTTCAGGTTCTTTACTTCAATATTGTTTTCAAAGTCTTTTTAGTCAAATTCTACGCACTGATTTACTTAAGGCTTATATATCAATAAAAATTGTAAAATCAGCCTTCTATTTTACGCTAAATTCAAAGCTTTTGGTACAATGAACAAAAGAATGCAAAAATCAATAATATCAAAGCAAAAAAAATCAGCTGATCATCAAAATGAGTCTCAAAAGCTCTCCTGTGACAATCGAGGTCATTTGAGAGTGTTGAACGCACAAATGAGAGAAACAAAGTTGGATAAATGAACAAAACTGATGAAAGACTCGTGTTTTCCTTCCATCCACCAATTGTCTCAATTCACTTTCCCTCTATGCTGCTGCTCTCGTTCATTTTCCCCCAAAACTAAGCACTCTGTTGGCGAGTATTTTCTCTATTGCCAAGGTCAAACTAGTTTCTAATTCTCTGGAGCTGCCAAAAATCTTGATTAGTACCTAGTGAGTTTTTTTGAGAGAAATTTTTGGGAGAAGATCGATAAGTGATAGCATTTGACCGATTTGAGAGATTTGAGCATTTGAGAGGAGTTTGTATGAAAGTTATAATGGAGAAGAGGTTCAAACAAGCGAAAGATCAAACTAATTACTATTATTAGGTTGTTTCACAAAACTAGCTCATATTCTAGCACTGAGTTTGCACAGTTCAAGATTAGTTTTATCCACTTTGCTGTCTTTTAGAGTAAGTTATCTAGGCTTATTCTAAAGTTCAAAATCTGTAATCCGTGTAGTACTAAGGTCTAATCAAAAATCAATCTGATCAACTATTTAAAAAAAAAACGCTCAGTGGTCAGTTGTAAGAAATAGTAACAAAAAGGAGGATGTGCAAATGGAGTTAAAGGATCGGAAGGGGCGACCAAGGAGCCGGAAAAGATAGAAATAAAAGAAGGAGCAGAAAAGCCCACAAAATGATGGTGGGGATGGGGAGCGGCTGTTCAACAGGCTACTAGAGGAGGACACGTATCTGGTGGATGGGAGGGGGTAGAGGAGTGGAGGAGTGCCCAGATTCCCCACCTCTTGGCCTCCCTAGAAACTCGCCCAGTGGCAATAAATCAGATCGACGCAAGACGAGGCAACCGATCGCTTTTGAGGGAAAATCCCTTTCACTTGGAAAATATTGAGACCGATTTCCAAATAATCGATTTTCTCTTGAGTAGATAAATTAAGCAATAGCTTTTGAACTTGAACTGAATGCTTTAAATCATCCACCAGCTTTGAGCCAATTGCCTAGCAATAGTCATTGCTTTTAATAGTCTTATCATGTAGAAAAACACAATTTCACAAAGTTTACATCAATCTGATAGTCCTTTCAGTGGTCAATCGAAGGAAAAATCCCAAAAATCTACCGTTCTCGAAAAAAATTGCTGGTCGATTTACGGAAAAACTGGCAAAAGAAGTGATAGAAGAAGTGATAAAAGAACTTGTTTTTTTTTGAGTACCCGATTGGGGAAGCTGATAGGGGAGAGGAGATCGGCGTGCAGGTCAACTCTTGCGTATCAATTAGAGCTCAAGCGAGATCGAGTGAGATTTGTGTTATAAATGAAAATGGAGAGGTTAAAGTAAAAAGTGTGAAGAGTTTGGCTAACTACAAGATAAAGATAGTTTGCCAAAACTCGATTGAACAAGCTGGATTTGTTCTAATGTAATTTTTGACTGTGGAGAATGTCAATACATAGGTTTAACGGGTGAATTTTGTACATTTAAAGATTCAGGAAACTGTAGCTGAACTAGAATATTTAAATTTTTGGCTCTCAAATCAAAAACACGATGAATTCATCTCGTTTTCGTTTACATAACGATTTCGAGCACCTTGCTTGAGGCGGGGAATTGAGAGCAAAAATATCCTTATGCAAACAATGAATTGGTCAATTTTTAGGACAGCTTTGCAATCCGAAAAACTTGAAGTGGACAAAGTGTGAATCTTTGAACTAGGTCACAAAACTAGATTCACCCATTGGCAACTTATTTAGAACAATTCACAACCAATCCACTTTGTGAATCAATATTGATTCAAATTCCCAAATAAGGACCTCTGGGTGTCGGATTGCCAGAAAAGAAAGAAATCGAAAGGCGACGATCTTGAACCCATTTTTGACTCACATCTGGACTCTCGCGTCGAAGAAAAATCGAACTCACACAAAAGGGACGACATTTCGGAACAGCAAGGAGACAAATAGAAGAAGAAAGGGAAGAGGACTGGTCAGTCTATGAAAAGACCCAACACAGACGTTCAATAGACCCAGGAAAAGCTGGGCGATCTTGGAAATAAGAGATGGGACTATTTTGGGTAAAGTTGCAAGGGTGATCAGGAAGAGAAGGGTCATCAGATCATAAAACATTCATAAAGCTTTAGGAGCTTGTAAACTTCTGTGAAAGAGATAGGTTATACAATAGAAATTCTTATGCTTTAATCAGTGAAAATTGTTAAAGGTAGTAGCCTTATTTAGTCTAACAGACTAACGCTTTGAGAACTCTTTTGGAAAATTAAAAAATTCAACCTATTAGCTAGATTTTAGCTTAAAGACTCATTATTTTAATCAATAAATAGCTTGACAAATGAATAGCCAATTATTATAAGCTTATATTATAAGCAAAGCTTGTCAGATCATCTGATAAAAATAAAAAGGATCAAATGAACCCTCAGAAAATCAAAACTTTCTTTGATCCAAAAAGATGAGCCAAAAGATTTATCGAAAAAAGCGAAATCTGAATGGATGAGGAGGAGAAGAGGAAAGTGGTTGGTTGAGGATGAAATTGGAAAGAAAGGGGATGATGATGAAGGGAATTTGGGGGAAAGAGGAAAAGACACACAAGCAAGAGATAAACAGTCCCCTTTCCATTCCCCCAAATCAGCCAGCCTAGGCATTGATTTCGCAGCAATCACACTAGATCATCAATTTTGGGTTTTTTCTTTTTCCACAAAAGAGAAAAGCGGAAATAGCTGCTCAAGTTTTTCCCAGTATCTCTAGACGTTGATCACAACAATGTGAGAAATTTTAAGGAAAAAAGAAGTTTGCAAAGGATTACAATAGGATTTCAAGCCGGTTGCATCTCGCAGATCAATTCTTTGCATGATCAAGCTGTCCTTGTTTTAGAACAAGAATCCATTCCGGAGTTGGTTCTTTGTTTGCTAAAAAACACCTATTTCAGCAAGCTATTTTAATCCCAATAGCCCAATTTTAGTATTACTTATTGAACCTTGTGATTTCACATTAACCGATGCCAAAATTAAGTTACTTAAATGGAAACTGGTTATTGATTACGGTCGTAGAAAAGGAACGCACTAGTTTAAACTATTTACGCCAGTTTTGAATTTCGAAGAAAAAAACCAGACAAGTACCTTATAAAGTTTTGAATTAAAGCATTTAAGGGAGAAGATTCCCTCATCCCTTTTGGTTTAGATACAAAGCGGCCACTTGAGAGCCGCCCCGAGCCTCTCCAACAGCTTCCACCACCCTCCCTTCCACCCTTTCTTCTCCAAATCCTTTTAAATATTTTCTTTATGAAAAACTCGATGAAGAACACTTACAATCTTTTGACAAAATCTCTGGATTAGTTATAGAAATGGAAATGGTTGAAAGCTTTTGAAAACAGGAAAGCTAATCGAGAAAAAAATCAGCTAGCTATTCCGGAAAGGTGACGGGGTCGAGGACAGGTGAAATGGGAAAAGGAAAGGACTGGAGCTGGCTTGGGTAAATTATGCTCAAAGGGGAATGGGAATAAGGCTGAGACTGGAGACTGGGAAAGTGTTGGGAGAGATGGGGAAAGGAAAGGTTCGGTTCAAGATTCAGAGTGCAAAGTGGTAAATGATTTTTAGGTCATTTTGTAAGCTAAAGAATCTACTACGCAAAAATTACTGTATCAACGCCATTTTATACAAAATTTCAACTTCAGGAGTTGTTTTATATCACCAAGTTTTGAAGTGTCGTACTAGAAAATTTTGGCTAGAAAATGAACCTAGGTCTAGTTCTAGTTCAAGATAGGTTAAGCTAAAAACTTAATCTAGTTTAAGCCTGTTTATTTTGAAATAAAGAAAATTTGCAATGGTTTGCAAGTGTTGAAAAGAAACTCTTTTCTTCTTTTTACAACCCGACCTGCCATTTG